GCTTCTATACTTTTCATCATCCTGATTCTCATAATGTACTTTTCTCATAGTTAGTCTGTCCTTCCCTACTCCATTCAGGAATATCAAAACTTCCAACACACTTGTAAGTTAAATGTTCACTAAGCAATGACTAGTGGTAGAACTCTACTATTGAAATTAAGTTTTAAAAATAATACTTGTGCAAAGACCGGCAGTTCTGAGCCTGCTGAAGTATGCAAGCCAGGGGATTGCCTGGCACGTTCTTTTTCATTCCCATTGTTACACAGTCCTGGCAAAGAAAGATAAAGCACTAAAAAGAACCCCAAACAAACAAACAAAAAAGACAGAAGCAGGCAGATTTTGAATTTTAAAACCTGACTGCTTTACTAAACGAACAAAACCTGCAAACAGTAGCACTTGCATTTGTTTCCTCTCTCAGTGCATGTGATTTGCTGTTGAACAGTTTCATAAACTGTTCATAAACTGAGAGAAACCGGTCACGTCTACAGAAAGCAGGACACGTTGTTTAACCCAATGAACTCGGTCTGAGCCCTCCCAGACGCGCCAGAATCCCAGCAATTAAAAGACTGGTGAGACCAGAGATCACTTTGCACAGAGCTGCCACCTGGTGTTTGCGAGACAGCATATTCTTCTTCAGCTACTGCTTAAAAGCAAATTTAATGAATAAACCGAACCTTGAAAGACAATTAACTTGGTTAACAAGGATCCTTCAATAGCAATAGCTCGGTTGCCAGTTTCTCAGCTTGTCAAAGTCAGTTCTAGCCTCAGAAGACAGCCTCTAACAAAAAGCAGGTTGCAATTATTAGTGTCCTATGCACCCAAGCAAAGCAAATTTGTCTTTCATTTATGTTTTTAATCAGTATACTCAAAGTGCTACGGAGCCAATGCATTTATACTTACCTACAATGCTTGGAAAACAATATAAGCAAATTGCTTGTGGCTGATAAAAACAGTTGCTCTCTGTGATCAGCAGCAATGGCAGTCAGAATGCCAGAAAAATTGGTCTGCAGCACCAGGAGGGATTTGTGTGGGCAGCACTTGTGCAAGCTGCCCCATTCTCTTCGATGAAACATGCCCAATTTCAACAGCTGTTTTTCTTAATGAAGTCTCCATACTGAGTTCACACTGTCACAACTATTTCAGCTCTGAATCTTTACCAAGCCATGTTAAATGCTAATTATCAATTGTTTCAAACCAGTGCTTTGTTCTCAAAGCATTAACAATATTGTTTTCCATAGAAGAAGGGGATGAGGTCTGTGGGGTTTTTCTCCTCTCTGCCAGAGGTAACTGCAACACAGAATCTCAAAGTAGCAAAGATGCCCAAGCCTTTATAAACCCGAGGGTCTGCCATCTCTATCAGGCTACAAAAGAAGAGGGAGATTTACAAGCCAAAGATCAGGCACTGATTTTTTTCATGGCTTTTGGACTCATGGATTTTGCAAAGGCTAAACACAGCAGAGTATGAGTGTTAAATAGAATATCCACAAAACAGAGCAGGAATCTATTCCTGCATCCAAACACACAAAATATAAAGGCATCAACTATATAAGTGAAAGCAGATGCAGGGCTAGAAACTCTTACCTGTTGATAAAGAAGTTATTAAAAATGCTATGTTTTTGATTTTATGAAGTTTTTTTTTTGTTCTGCTGATAGCAAACTTAAGCATCTTGGATACAATTACATTTCAACCTCTGACTTAAATCAAGATTTGTTATTAACAATGATACTTGAAGCCCAAACTGGATAGAGACAAAAAAGTATTTAAAAACCTGCATGTTTTATTTTCAACTTCTAAAACCTTAACGTTGCAGTAGAAAAAGTAAAAAACAAAACAAAAACAGTAAACAGTGGCGTTCTGTAAACTAACACAGGACCATATGCAGAATGTTCCTACACCACTCAAATGCAGTCAGTACAAGCAGCAATCTGGCCTCCCTCTCTTCGATCCCTTCTCCTTGAAATAAACCAGTACATACCCAGAGATTTTAACTATAAAATGAGGATACATTCATTCTTGTTTTCTCCCATTTATCAACAGTCAGTTGCCACACACTGCAGTGATTTGCAAATGAAATTCATACAGTCTCCATCACAGAACTGGAGAGAACGCATACAACTCCACGACTGAAGTCCTTTCATCCTCATTCCAGGCTCCTTACCAACACTCATCACATATCTTTAGACTGATCATCCTCTTCAAGTTTTCTGATTTCACTCTTTAAACAGTTGATGGTTTCACGACTTGCTTTTAACCTTTCTTTAAGCTCAGCAATCTCAAAACTGGTTTTCTTTTTGGCAGCTTCCAGCTTTTCCCTGGTTTTTACTTCAAGATCTGCAACTGTGGTGGCAATAAAGAAAAAGAAATATGAATTATCTTTAAAATTTCGACTTTTCTTTATACATGTGGCAGTAATTTGGAAAGCACATGTCCTGAAAAAATACAAAACAATTACTTCTAGCCTTACAGACTCAGCAATGTTAGTAAAAATGGTAACTGGAAAAAAAATGGAATAACAGAAGAAGAAAAGTTTGCTTGATGACCTCATTCAGTCTATCAGTTTCGTGGTTGAAACAGCGTAATTCACAACGGCATTTGCCAGAGTAAAAAACAAAGAAAAACAAACAAACAAACAAACAAAAAAACCAACCAACCAGCCAAAAAAAAAAAACCCCAAAAAAACCAAAGAACAACAAAACCCCAAAAATTAAAGATTAGGTGAAAAAAAATCTCAACTGGTTACAGCAAAAGAAACGGGTGATAGTGATCAAATCTCCCCTCAGTCGTGGATCCCTCCAGATCCACACATATCATACTTTTGGACAGTGCAATTCAGTGAGGATAATTTTTGCTTGCACTTTACACCTTCATAAAATCAACCAAACTATGCCAAATATGATAAGCCAGGCATCAATAATGCCACATCCCTAGAGGTGTTCAAGGCCAGGTTGGATGGGACTGTGGGCAGCCTGGTCTAGTATTAAATGTGGAGGTTGGTGGCCCTGCCTGTGGTGGAGGGTTGGAGATTCACGATCCTTGAGGTCCCTTCCAACCCAGGTCATTCTGTGATTCTGTGATCGTGCTGTCACTGCTAACACCAAGCTATTCAAAATTCATGCAGCCAGACTCACTGTATGATCACATCCTGCAGAAAACATTAATAGTAAATGACAGTTGGTGAAGGTATTCTCATTTTGCACTTACACTCTGTTTCATGCTTGTAAGCGCCAAGTGTCAGCTGACGGGACGTTGTTAACAGTTGCTGCATCATGGCAGTAGGATCTTGAAATATCTAAGGAAGGACCAAAGTACACAGCCCCATTAATACTTTTCTAAATAAAGTCAGGCTTGGTTTACATTAAAATTTTCATACCATTTCATCATAGAATTCAGAAACTACAGTTTTCTTTCCCAGGATCGCATTGGTGTCAGACTGAAAAAGCTTCAGCAAGTGATACAGGGTTACCTAGATACAAAGACAGAGCTTTATCAGCTTGACAACCATAGGGAAACACCAATTATCTCCTAGATACAAAACAGTAGCAGATGTTCTTACTAAACAACTGTATAGGATTTTAAATGCTTTTAGGAATACAAAAATAAACATCATACAACATCAGCAGAGTTACTTAAATTCAGTATTCATTATTAAACATGCCTGCTATAAATGCAGCTTGATGTCTTTATATTGTCTGGGCAAGTGCTTGAGGATAGATGCCTAAGAACCCACAAAGACCTTCTTTAAAGCATTTCCAAACAGAGAAGATGATTTAGCTTAGAGCCATTTTGCCAATAAATCAGTTTGAGAGTGGTTTCTACAGCCTTATCATTGCTGTAGCTTAGGTGCAGTGCGATGTGTTCCTGATGTGTTCCTGTACTGCTAAGCACCAGAGAAGCCAAGTGCAGCCAAAGCCGTCCCAGAAGCCTCAACCTGCAGTACAGCACAGAAACCAGCAAACACAGGCACCCACTGAATGAATACAGAGCACGTTTCCTGGAAAAGTGAGCTCTACCAGCTCCGTGGTTGGCGGGCTGTGACCGGCCGTACAAAGCAGCCCAGCACCGGGCCGCCAGAATGGCAGAAGCACTATCAGAAGCTCAGCAGTACTCACAGGTCGCTCGTTTGGGTCAATGAAAAATATCTTGATGATGATTTCAAATTCGCCCCAGCCCGTTTCGGTGATCTCGTACGGCGGTTTGGTAACGACTGCAGCGCGAAACAGAGATGAGGGCGATGAGCCTCAGCGGGACCGAGGGGAGCAAACGCCCCGACACAACACCCACCTCGGAGAGGATTCCCGTAGCTCTCGTGCAGCTTGAACTGGATTTTTTTCACGTAGGCGGACATGTCCTAGGAGAGAAGCTCGCTCAGCCCCACCGCGCACCCGGGCACGGCGCCGACGGCACGGGCGCTTCGGGCCCTACCTCGTTCCTGTAGGGCTTCACGTAAACCGTCCACTGATGCGTGTGCCCGTCCTCCTCCCTCTTCTTCCCGAAGTACCGCGCCACGTTCCCGTACACTACCGGCTTCACGATGGTGACGCCCTTGCGCGGGAGAGAAGAGAAGCGGCAGCGGCGAGAAGCGCGCCTGTAAGCGCCGCAGCAGCCCGAGCCGGGCGGGCCGGCAGAGGCCCCGGCACCCGCCGGACGAGCCCCGCGCCCGCCCCGTCCCTCCGCCCGCGCCGCACCTTCACCCTGCCCCCGGAGTCAGGCCCGAACTCAGCCATTCTCTTGAACATATTGCACCGGAGGGGGCGCCGCCCGCAGCCGCGCCGCGCTCAGCTCCCGCCCCGGCCCGGCCCGGCCCCGCCGCAGCGCAGCGCTCAGCCCCGCGGCCCCGGCGCCCGCGTCGCGTCACGGAGGCGGGGCGGCGCCGTCACGGGGCGCCTGTTGGCCGCCGGTTGGCCGCGAGCTCCCGCCCGGCGCCCGGCCCCCGCCCCGCCCCGCCCGCGCCGCGAGTGGCGCCCAGACAGCGGAAAGAGGCGCGGAGCGACGGGAAGCCGTTTGCGGATGGTGGCTTTAATGAGGAACGCGTTTAAAACTGCCAAGCGGGGATCGTCGCGCTAGCAAAGCGGTCGGCCGTGCGGCGGGCGGGCTGGGCGCGGCGGCTCCTCACAGGCGGCAGCCTCTGATCCACGCGTGGACGTCGGTGCCCTTGCAGCGGTTGCGCCAGGCGACCCTGAGCGGAGGGAGAGGAGCGGTGAGGAACGGCGCTGCCGTCGGCGCTGTTGGTTCCTCTCCCCGGAACCCCGCGCCACCTACCACGCGTTCATGCCGTTCCCATCGCTGACGATCTTCTTCGCGCAGTTCACGCTCGCCGTTATGTCCGAGCTCAGCAGTGCTTAAGAAGGGAAGCGTAAAAAGCGTCATTTCATGATTTTATTTTTAACCGTCTTCAGGCGATCAGCGTGTTGGCGTTGAGCACTTTGCTCCCCGCTCCCGTGAGCCCGCACGGTGTCTGCTGAAACAGGCAGCAGAGCGGCGCCAGTGTGTGCAGCACGCAGGGACAGGCAGCGTGGGGGAGAAGAGCGAGAGATGCGCCACGACCTGGGGAAAGGGAACCTGGGAGCAGCGTGCAGCCACCCTGGGCTTCCAGATCCCCATTGTAAGGCCTGACTGCACAGAGATCCTTACTCATCTCTGGGATGTCTGCTGTCCAGTCTTAGGTAAGGGATCGCAGAATCAGACAGTGCCGGGGTTGGAAAAGACCTCAAGGATCACGGTTATCCAGCCCCACTGCCACAGGCAGGGCCACCAGCCTCCCCATTTAATACCAGACCAGGCTGCCAGGGACATCCAACCTGGCCTTGAACACCTCCAGGGAAGGGGCATCCACAACCTCTCTGGGCAGCCTGTGCCAGCACCTCACTGCTCTCTGAGTAAATAGCAAAGCGTTGAGATGTGTGGCAGTTTCTCTGTTTCTAAGTTCCAAAGAAAACCAAAGAATTTTCCTCTAGCGACTTCCAGCTATCAGAATGCAGGCAGAGTAAACCCAGTGAAGCAAAGCCACAAACGATGCAGAATAATCCAGGCTGCAAGATGAAGCTCTATTTCATGCATTTGTCTTTGGAAGATGGAGTTAGAATATAGCATGCGGCTACTAGTGTGACAACAAACAACTTTCTGCCATCATTTTATGGTTAATCTGCAACCAAACTGTTTTGCCTATGGTACCTAACTGCACTGTTAGTTGGCTTCCTTGGCAGATAACCATCCATTCAGCTGTGCTCTAGAAAGACAAAAGGGTTATTGCACTGTTCTAAACACCCATACTTTAAACAAAACTGAAATCCTAACTAAAAGGATGTGAGAAAGAAAGATTTTAGTCTTTTCTATTTTGCTTTCCGTGTGAACATGGCCATTTTGGAGGTGAACAAGCATCACAAATTAGCTGGCAGCGTAAGCCCTGTGCTGTGTTGGACACAGGCAGATGAGAAAGCTTGCAGTTACAGTATGGTTACCCTGACCTCTGCTGCTGTCCCGTTTTCACTCTGCCTGCAGATTATTTTCCCTCGAATGTGTTGGTCCTAGCTATATGTGTAGGCATTCCTTGTCCGTGTCAAAATGAGTTGGCGTTACAGGGATGCATTATTTGTTTGGCCGTACAGATGAACAAAACACAGTACACGATCAAAATGTTTTCCTCCCTACACCTGCCATTGCACATGCATCCCACATGGATGGTACTTAGATAGAAATAATTGTGGGAGGGCCAACGCGTATAGGATGATTGTTTCATAGGAGTCTCCTATTAAAAATGATGCTTTTTCCTTTGTATGTACAGACCTCGAGTGTCACTTCACCTTTATCTAACTAGTGGGGATTTGCAAATCTATTCACCTCTCCTCCCCGTCACTAGTGGGATGGGGAAGTGGCATTTTGGACAATATCTTGCAAGGGTCAAGCTCTTACTACCTTCAAACAAAAATTTCCAGAGGTTCGTGCCAATGCTAATCAATAAATGGCTTCTCTGAAACCTCTTTTCTCTAGAAACATTCAGATGGGTAGACAGGGAAACACAGTTCCTGCCGTTAAGAAACTTTTTCCTCTCATGTGTGCATGGCTACAGTGCAGATCTCCTTTTCGAAAATGAGAAGAGTGAGTTTGAATTTTGTTCTGCTTTGTTCTAAAGATGGGGTTGTAACCAACCTTTGCTCATCTGCTAGCACACGGATTATGGAAGGGCATTTGTTGCCTTGAGAAACTGAGCTCACCTGAGCATGGGATATTGCACAGGTTCCTGGAGCCTGGGGTCCTGCCGTCGTTGCACCACCAGCGGCTGTTGATCTGTAGGATTCCGTAGTCGGTACTCCCGTCTGTGTTACGGTTTGTAGCATGGGTGTTGAAGTTACTCTCGAATTTTGCAGCACACACCCCTGTCAAAGTTCCATTCAAAAGAAAAAAAAAACCCTCCGAGATTATTATTTTAAACCTGTATCTGACTTATGTACGAAGGTACACAATCCATCTCTTCTCTTAATTGAAAGATGACTGTGTCCAGAGCACACCGTTTTTCCAATCCAACCAGGTGTGAAAAACACATGCAACATGTCTGAACTTCAAAATGTTCTTAGTAAACCTGGCACAGAATTTCTACTCCTAAAAATAAATTCCAGCATGCTTTTGTGCATTCCTCCCTATATACAGACACACAAATCACGCCTCAGGATGCTGGCGGGCAGGCTGTGCTCTGCAGCGCAGCTCCTACCACTCTTGGAAGCTTTGGGCAGCCCCAGCACGTCTCACAGGTGGTGCTTTTGGCAAGCAGTGCAGATGCATCCGAACAAAGCTGCTCGCATTGCTCCTGCTGCCAGGCACACCCCGTGTTCTTTCTGCATCAATACCTGCTCACCTTAATGAGGCTTATTTCAGCTGCTTGTACTTTACGTGGCTTATGATGGCCTCATTTTGTCCTATTTATGTGCTGCTGCATCCGTGTCAAGGCAGCAGGAAGGAGGAGGGATGGGGACAGCGATTCACGTTTCAGCTGTGAACATGATGGATTGCTCTCCAGATCTGGGAACAGAATGCATGCATGCCTCCCTTCAAAGGAAATTGGTTTAACAATAATCTGTTGTCAGTGCCCACCAGAGGAAAGAAGCTTTCAAGTGGCCCCTCACTCCTTGACTCTAGGATCCCCTCTCAGCCCACTTTCTTTCTGACTGACCTTCCCACATCAGCATGCACAGCATCCCTTCTCCCCCACTACTCCTTGTAGCAATCCCCACCAAGCCAGCCTGACACCAGTGTCTGTGCCCAGCATGGCTCCGCACTCTGCTCCTGCTTGCTCCACAGCCTTGGGAACATCTGCAGAGGAAGGAACTGAAGCAAGTAAAACCAGAGCGCTTAGGATCTGAGGAGGTAGAACGGGGCAGGCTGCTCCTGGGAAACCTTTCCGATGACAGCATCTCTGTTCAGCTGAGGAAGAATCATAGGGAAAGGAGCGTAAAGGGAAAATCTGTAGAAAATACCTGCAGTCTGTGCAAGCAGAGATGGACTAAACGGATGGCTTCTTAATATCTAAATTCCAACATCATGCAGACCTGCTCACTTTAAAGAAGCTTGTTAAATGGAAATTCCCACCCTGTGTGCTGCCTGGAAATCATAAGAGTACAGACTTACAGTTTCCCAGGCTGTATCCCCGATAGTTATCAAGTCCCAGACGCTTCATAGCTGCTGCCAGCTCACATCTTCCATAGACTTTCCCCAGAGCAGCCAGGGGCAGGAAGCAAAGCACCAAGATTAGCAAAGACCTCATGTTGCCAGTGTCGTACACACAGTGGGACTGCAGGCTCTCTTGCACCTGTCTCTTTTAAATTCCTCCCACCCCCTTTTGATTTCTCTGTTCTACAGTTGTCAGAAACACCCTCTTGAGTATACAGAAATTTCCCAACACTTAAAACATCACTCTAAACTTGCCAAATTTCTTATACAATGTGGGAAGTACCACGTTAGCTAAGCAACAGAGGAATTTTATTGTCTGTTGCAATATCTACAGTCTTGATTTTACTGCATAGCCACTGTTCATCATCAACATACCACTAGTAACAACATAATAAAAGTAGCCATAGTAAATAAACAGGTTTTAATTGGCAGAATTACTAAACCATTCCCTAACAATGCAAATTTAGCTTTTCTTCTCAAGTGCTGAAGGATGCGACACATCATTTGTGCAACTTGGTCATGCTGTGCTATTACACAGCGTCTGAAGCAGTGCTGGGTTCATCAGGGCTCTGGGTGCAGGGGGCCGTGGAGCCATTCGGCAGCAGGTGGGGTAAGGCATCAGGCAGGAGTATTTGGGGAGGAAGGAGCACATGCAGAAGGCACAACTTCAACATTCCTCTTCTACTGAAATCTACTGAAATCTGAGATCTACTGAAATGAAGAAGTGTGAAAAACTCTCTCCTCTAGCCATCGGCACCTGTTATATTGTTCCTGTTTTGATAGTGGAACTAATAAGGAGAAGTTGCAGCTCAGAAAGCCAATGATATCCTGAGCTCCATCAGAAGAGGGGTGGCCAGCAGGGTGAGGAAGGTGATTGTCCTTCTTTACTCTGCCCTTTTGAGCCCCATCTGGAGTTCTGCATCCAGGCCTGGGGTTCCCCAGTACAGAAAAGATGGAGAAATGTTGGAGAGGGTCCAGAGGAGGGCCACGAAGGTGATCAGAGGGCTGGAGCACCTTACCTATAATGGCAGGCTGAGGGAGCTGGATTTGTTCAGCCTGGAGAAGAGAAGACTGCGAGGAGACCTCATTGCAGCCTTCCATTTTTTGAAGGGGATTATAAAAACGAGGGGAATCAACTTTTTACAAGAGTAAACAGTGATGGAATGAGGGGGAATGGATTTGACCTCAAGGCAGGAAGGCTTAGATTGGATGTCAGGGGAAAGTTCTTCACAGAGAGAGTGGTGAGGTGCTGGCACAGGCTGCCCAAAGAAGTTGTGGATGCCCCATCCCTGGAGGTGTTCAAGGCCAGGTTGGATGGGGCCCTGGGCAGCCTGGTCTGCTACCAGATCTGGAGGTTGGTGGCCCTGCCTGTGGCAGGGGAGTTGGAGTTTAATGATCCTTGGTGTCTCTTCTAATCCAAGGCCGTTCCACGTTTCTATGATCCTATGAAGTCAGTTTTACCACTAATCTGGAGCCCCGATGTTCAGCCTGTACAAGATGTTTCTAGTGGGAATAACTAAGCTGAACTACTGAAAGCAGGTATACTTTTTAATGTTACTTTCTACCAGACTTTGAAATTGTTGTTTGCTGTGTTCATTTCAGAAGGACAGTGCTGGCAAGAAGCAATCTGCCTGCATATAGTTGTATTCAATTGGAAGTGCTATGTTTAGGCAGCCTTGCATGGGGAACTGCAGACGCTTCAGAAAGTGCACTGGAAAATTGACCCTAATGTTTAGGAGCCTCTTTAGGAGATCAGCTTTTTACAGTGTCCTGCTTCAAAATACAACTCCATTAGAGAGTAGCTGCTCCAATAGGGCTCCTAGACTCCATATTCCAAGCCAAACCACTTGATGATACTGATCACATTGAAGTATCAGTTCAATTTAATGGCAACAAATGGCACTTTTTGAGGATTAGCGTTGCCTCGTGGTCAATAAGCATGGCCCAGATGAGTGCAGCCCATCTGGGCCACGCTGCAATTTCAACAAAAGCCACTCTTGTGGTTTCACCTTTGTTTGAGAGCAGTGAGTTGGGACGGTCAGGCACTCCCTGACCATACCTGGAACTCCTGTTCCTTGGATCACAGCCTGACCCAAAAAGTGCCAGAACTGTACAAACTGGGATTACTGGAACTGTACAGCTGAGAGAAAATTCCAGGATTGCCTCACCTAAACTGTAGCCAGAATGGAAAGTTTTCTGACCAAAGTCAGTTACCTTGAGGCCCTATAAATAAAGGTCCTAAGAGTCCCTTTTGTTCTCTAGGACCGCACTGAGCTGTGATCCTCAATTCCCCCCTGAGCTGGGATATCTGTCAGGTTTGGCTTTTTTTTTTTTTTCTTTCCTGAGAGTAACATTACCAACCCTGTGATTTACTGAAGGAATATTAATAAACCCTAAATCACTGCTAAAACTACAGCTGTATGCAATCAATCCATGCCAGTAGCCTGAGAGACCTGAGTTCTTATTTGACCTCTGTTGGGGTCAATAAGTAACTAAGCAAAAAGACACATAAATACCCTAGCTATCCAGTAAAGGTCTCAATTTCTTCATGATAAATGCAGCTAAAACCTCATTGTCTTCAAACAGATTTATTATCCGTATGATTTTTAGCCTCTTCCTTGTAAGCAGACTTTCATAGCCAGAACTGTGCTGTCACCAACAGGGAAGAAATGAAAATCTTAGCAAACTCCTTTCCAGTTCACAGTTATTATTTCTAAATACCAGTAAAGAAACGGGTGACTTCATGATGTCAAACAGAAACATTCCCAGCTAGTTCCTCATTCTCCTGCCAGTAGTCATCTGCCAACTGCAGATGTACCATAATTAAGAAGCTTAAGAGGAAGATCCTTCCTGGAAGTCCTATAAAAACACACTCCTGTTTCAGACTTCATAGGAGTGTGCAGTACTGGCTCCAACAGGAACTGGATTCCTTCAGGGACTTTCATAATGTGCAAGGTGTTTCCTCCTGCTGCACCTTAAAGACAATTGTTCCTGTTTCTGAGCATACTGACTAGTAGTGCCTCTGCCAGGAACAGCTTTCAAAAGCTGCATTCAAAGAAGCCTGAAATTCTATACACGGTTTCTGATCCTCCTTCAGACCCTGAGATTACAAACATTTGGGACTGCATCCTTCATTTTGCAAGTGTGACAACTTCTCTCATGCCGAGAAGAGCACTTTTCATTTTCTCTGGTATTCAAAATGTTCCTGACAGCGTGAAAAAGAAAAAATAACAAAGGCAATTCTACATTTGCATACACACACTCTCCTAAGTAGCATGCATGATCATTAAAGGAAGATCTGGCCTTGGAGCTGGGGGTACATTCCCACTATGTGTTCCCTCCCAGTTTGGCAGTTCTGACTTAAAATCGTGGAAAAACAAAGATGTCAGAGACCACATTTAAGCATCTGAGAGGCATCAGTCAGGCCAGAGGTTTGATGATGTGCAGAAGATAAGCAGTTTTCCTCAGCTTGGGTTGATCCTTCTGATGGGCTGGTGAAGGTCAAAGTGATGCTAATGAGCAGGCAGCATGGGACCCACTGTTACTGCCCCAGCATCCATCAGCTGCGAGCATCCCTCATCTTGGTGTGCTAGTGCCATCGCTGCCAGGATGGCAGAGCACCTAGAGCAGCAAGTGTTACTTTGCCATCTCCTATTTTAGCGTCTTACCACAGCAAATAGCAAAAACTGCCATCGTGATTCTCCACACAATTCATCAGAAAAGTTACCTGTGACTTATTTTACAAACCAAGGACTGCAAGGTGGCCTTGGCAAACAGCACCTTTGGCTTGGGGCGTGCCTGTATAAATCAGGCAACACTGTCTGACAGCTTTATTATTTCTTAATTCTATTGAGCTACACAACCCTTCAGATGTCTCTCTCTTGATGTCAGCCTGCCCCACAAGTTCTTGTTTGGGTTTCTCACATCTTGTTTATTGGCTGAAGAGAATTAGTAAGCAAGAAATCTCTCTTCTTCTTATGGGCAGCTGGACAGATTGCCAAGATTGTAACAGAAGAATGACAGTGAAATGATCTGTAAAGAGCACAGAGACACTGACACTGTGGAAATCCCAGCAAAATATATCCGTGTCTGTGTTATGTCAAAGATAGCTGCATAATAGAAGTAGAAAAATGCAGAAATTTGTCAGTGACAAAGTAGTAGTAATTTATGGCTCACCTCAAACAGGAAGAACTGGTAAGAATATCAAATGGCAGAAAGCTTTCACCTAGACATTCTTTGCAAGACTGCTGAAAATCCTGTTTGGGTGGCATCAACAGAACAAGAAGACAACACTGAAGAATTAAACGGCTGCCAAAGTGAACACTAAAATAGGCCTCTATTTGTCAAAGATACAAGCTGGGAAAGAATAGAGGACAACAAGGAAGTCGTACAAGAACAACTGGGTGATGTAGAAAATGGCGTAGTCAGAACAGAACTTAACAGAACAGAGCTTAAGCACATTATAGCCCCGAGGATCTCCACAGATACAAAAGCTTATCTATTGTATCTGATCCCAAATACAGAATTTATGGGAGGCCACAGCTTGGAAGGTACTTGCAGCAAATTGATTATGTGCTAATACCACCGTGAAAACCCTACTGAGATTGCACTAGGAATTCTGCATGTATTTTTGTTAGAGGAATACATATTCTGTCCTGTTACAGGAAACATGAACTGAAATTTAAATCTGCAAGAATAGGGCAAGTAGATGTAACACAGCCTGTCCTAAAGAATGGAAACAAGCTTACAGAAGTGAGGGCAGAAGCATTAACCAGGTTGTGTGGGCTCTGGTGGATGAAAAGCTTGACACAAATCAGCAAGGGGCTCTGGGAGTCTGAAAGGCCAACAGTATCCTAGGCTGCATCAAAACAGGGGTGGCCAGCAGGGAGGGGGAGGTGATTGTCCCCATCTGCTCTGCCTTTGTAAGGCCCCATCTGGAGTACTGCACCCAGACCTGGGGCTCCACAAGAAAGCTGTGAAACTGTTCAAACTGAGTGGGTCGAGAGGAGGGCCACTAAGATGATTGGAGGTTTGGAGCACCTCCTCTACAAAGACAGGTTGAGGGAGCTGGGCTTTTTCAGCCTGGAGAAGGCTGTGGGGAGACGTCACTGTGGCCTTCCAGTACTTAAAGGGAGCTTATAAGCAGGAGGGAGACGGACACATTTCTTGGACAGATAGCAATAGGAAAAAGAGGAGTAGCTTTAAACTGAAATAGAGGAGATTGAGATTAGATGTTAAATGAGAATTCTTTACTCAGAGAGTGGTGAAGCACTGGCACTGGCTGCCCTGAGAAGCTGTGGTGCCCCATCCCTGGAAGCACTGAAGGCCAGGTTGGATGGGGCCCTGGGCAGCCTGAACTGATAAGTGGCAAGCAGTTCACAGTAGGGGGTTGGAAATGTATGTTATTTAAGGTCCTTTCCAATCCAAACCATCATTTGATTCTAGTTGTTTTGAATGCTTTAAGGAGTTAAACACAATGGGGAGTGAGACAACTACATAGAGAATGATATCAGCACAAGATCAAATTAATATAATCTGGACTAGAAAAAAATTAGGCTGCCTCTTTGGTTTGTAACCAAGGGGGCAGTGAAATGGTGAGATAGCCTTCCAGTAGGAACAAAAACCCCAGATAGACCCTATTTCATCTTAAGCTGAGTCTCAGAAAGGGCTGTAAGATGCGGTTAGCTGCCCCAGCAGGAGACTGAACTTCTTATCCCAGCCTGTATTCTACAGCTCTCAGTATTTTCGTGTGGCCTTACAAAGAAGAATGTAAGGCTAGAAGACCCTCCTCCACCAGCCTCTTTCACCTTTAATTTGCCATGTTGGATGCAACTTGTCATAGTGAAGACTGATATGGAAGAATGAAAAATAAATAAGCTTCCATTTGTTTTTAAGCCTCACATAAAGATTTGATCACCGTGAGAATCCTACATTAATAGATCCATTGTTTGAACATCCACAGGTTTGACTGGGATTACCAGCATGGAGACGCTCTTAGTAAAATGAAAAGGAAAAAAGCAGCAGCATAACTAGAAAAACCGTCACCAAACACATGCTCAACACATTCTGAAATAAAGGAAATTGCACCAAGTGCTGTCATTTCCAAAGCAGTTGCTTTCAGAGCCACGAGCAGGTTGTGGCATAGTGCCAGCAGTGGAGGAAAACCACTGCAAGAACAAAAGCAGAATGAAAATAGTCTGCATCATGAGATGACAGGGAAAGGGCTGGAAGCAGATGGGATTGTTGGAGTTGGACTGTGTTACACAGGCTTGCTGCTGCAGCGGAGGACAGGGCTATGGATTACCTGGAGACTGGCAGCTGTTATCCAGAGACAGGAGTGATAGGAGATGCAAGAGCTGCAATAAGCACGGGTATGCAAGAAACAAAAAACTGCTACGCATTCATTTGAGAATTGTGGTTTTAAATTTGCCAAATTTTTCAAGTTAAAAAGAGATGGGAACATTTTTGTTGTTCTTAAGGGGATTACCTATAATCTCCCAGGAGCTGATCTCACGTGGGCCGTGTGGGAGAATCCCCTCTCACGCTTCTTCCAGCCCCAAAAAGACCAAATGGAGTGGGGAAGAGGTGGCTGACACTGTGTGTTAACCACAGCTGGGGGTTGCACAAACCTGGCTGTGTTGTGCCACCATCCTTTCTGCTGGCTATAGCAGGCTATTAATTTAATTTGGTGGTAAGGCCTTTTTGTTTTCTAAATAAAATACTTGAGTTTATATAAGCTTTCCTTTGTTCCTTGGTAATACCCCCAATCCCTCTCAGTTAAAAATCTAAGCCAGTTATTGAATCAATTAAAAACTAAAATGCTGGAAGAGGTGATAACGTAGACATGTTTTATTTCCAAATTCATTTTGAGTAAAAGGATTGTTTTGTTTTGTTTTCCAAATCACTGAATGGAACGGTTGGAGTAACGCAAAATCAGGAAGGCACAGCAGGGATCCCACATGACGGGAAAAGAAAAGATTTTTCTGCAACGTTGTCCTGTTACTGCTGTGAGAGAAACACTAAGAAAGTGGTACTGTACTCCAACTGAGATGGCAGGCAGCCAGCAAAGAGCTTCAGCTGTTATAGAGAGTTTATACTTACACAGAGCTCAAAATAGTTTTTCTTGTAGAGAAAAGTGGTACTCGCTCATCTGGTTTTATGGCTGCTAATAAAACACTGACCTTCTCTCACCCTTTCCATTCAAAGTAGTTTATGTATTTTAAAAATATATCCACCACACACAGTTTATGCATTATTTCCATCAGATCTTCTGCAACACTCCGTTGGTTGTTCTGAATGGGTCCCCATTTTCACTATTCCTACACTAGTGGTCTTTGAGAAATTGGGAGCTGTGGACCTACATGCTGCAAAGAGTCCAGGATAAATGACTTAAGAATGCAAGAATGCAGTTTTAATTACATTCATACTCCAATTAACGTTTTGAGGTTGGAGCCCAAGTCCTTTACAGCTTGATCCATGAATAAGGATCCTGTTTGGGATGAATGGTCCCTGTTTTAATCCCCTTTCACTGGGGCAGAGCTGTAACACACCCAGGCAGAGCCACATAATTTCTAAGCAGAGCCCAGCCTTCAGTGAGGGTGGCCTGTCAGAAATACGACTGACTGTCAAGAGGGAAAAGGAGTACCAGGGAACCTAAGGAGTCTGTTTTAAGCACCAGTTTCAGCATCAGTTGCAAAATAACTGCAACTCTGCAGAGCTCCTCGCTTTCAGAGGAAACGCAGCTCAGAGTAACCCGCCCGCCTTCGGCCATTATTCAGAGGTGTGTTCATCAGAGAACTGCAACCAACATTTTCTCTTCCTGGGTTCTTTCACTCTAAGAGCATTCATGCTAAGAGTAGGAGGACACACACTTGAGAACAGCACACTCAAAAGATACTCGAAATAATGCACAGAATATAAGGCAAGAAAACTACTTCATGGGTGTCAAAGCCAGGAGAAAGCCTGCTAAGCTTACTTAGCAGGAAAAGGGGAAAGAAGCAACTGCCAACTGTCAGGTATGACAGATATGGGATAAGCAACAAATGCATGGATGTGGAATAGAAGAAGCAAGTGAATCAGATTTAACAACAGTGCTCATCTATCCAAGGCCTCATCAGTCAAGCAAGTGTTTAGAAGCAGTAGTTTTAGAAGATCTCATTAAGCGTGTTACCCTCTCAACTACTCAGCTTTCAGTCCCTCGCAACTCTATTTTAAATCGACCAATTCACTACGCTCCCTCACAGAATAGATGTCTGAAGTACAGGCTTTACAAACCAAAAAACTGCCCAAATCCTCCTCTTTCAGGCTTCCCTTATCTCTAAATCTCAAAACCAAACGCCAAACAAAAGCCACCAAAGAAGAAACATGCACTTCTCCACGGGCAAACCGAGCTGTAAGCACAGAAGCTAGTTCACGCCCCTAGATGGCAGGAGGGGCCTGCCACACTGCCTGGGAGCCTCTGCACCTTTTCTACCGTGTTCTGTGGGGCTGAGCACCCAGGGGCTCTCCTTCCTTCAAAGTGTCAGCACTGCTCTGAAAGTAACGCTTTCGGATCTCCTAAGAGGAAAAACCAGTGGGTAGATCAATGCCACTGCTAAACTTGCCTCCTCTCACATGTTTCGGTCAGTCACCTCAACTCTTGCTTGGCAAACTCCTGAGCAGCAGCAGCTCTCACCTATGACACAAACAAGCACCAACTCTGATTTTTTTTCACTGTGGTTGGAGCAATGCATTGTTAGCCCAAATGCATTCAGAAAGTCATGAGGAGCGTATCATGTTTTAACTGCTTTCAGCCATGCCAACCCTCTGTTGGAAGTGCTATGCGTGCAGACTGCGTCTCTATGAAACCACTTTCAAATTGAGTGCTTCTCCCTTCCCTAAATAGAACAGGAGCCAAGATGTTCACTTTCCATTACCTACTCGAGTACTGCTCTCCCAGATAGTTCTTACATCGCTTTCAATTTCACGTGGAGATGAATATTAAAAAACCTTTCCCAGATCACTAACATTCCTCTGCTGGCAAAGAAATGAAGCCCAGTGGAGCGCTCAGTGGCTCCGGGTGAAACTAGTTCAGTTTGCACAGACACCATGGGGATTTCTACTGTTCCACTGTCTATGCTACAAGGTCTGCAGCAGAGCATCTGCACAAGAGCTCAACTGCAACCACACCAATTCCTGCAGTCCAGAAGAGTCCTTTTGACTGTAGCTCAAGAGCCCATGGAAGGGACTGCTCTACATTTCCCTCCTAACCCATACAAGTACCTCTCTGCTCCCTCTCTCCTAAGAAATCCTACCAATGTTGTTGGCTCAGTCAGTACAGACCGTGTTCAAAAACTGCTTTATTCTCATAGGCCACGTGGTTTTGTCTTTGTGCTTGCTTGTTTTTTAAAACCCATTTCACCTTCAGACTATGGCGTATACACAGTTAGCTCTTTTTTTATGAGGCCAGTCTGCCTGCAACAAGCAGCAGCATCAGTTCCACTCTGCTGCATAGCGATGGGGGAAGAAGCAATGAAAATGACCTGCTGAAGCCTGGACTTGAGCAGAATCTTTTCCTGCAGCTCACCACAGACTTTGGTCCTTGCCATCTGCAGCAGGTGCTGCAGAAGACACCAAAAGCCAATCAGCAAGGTTCTTGCAAGTAGAATTCAGGAAGGAAGTTCTAGCACATGCTGCTGAATTATTTATTTCCTTGTCTCTGCTCAAGGGATGCTACTTTCCCTGGCTGCTGTACGTGAAGGGAAAACATATTAAGACTGCTCACCTTCCTCATTCTTCTGGTACCGCTTCCGATCAGAGCTCCATGATCTGGCGTTGTCAGACGACCAATCCTTGAGAATGCTTCCACTGTGAATTCATCCACATATTACCGAACCCACACTGTTAATTTTCAAGATTACACACCCTACATATTCGTGATGTTTGCAACACGATACTTCAAAATAGTAACTGCCACTTTTCCCTGTGCTCCCCACCCCCAAGCTCAGCTTGGAGTTCCCACAGTCCCCCCAGCCACAGCCCAGCACTCCTTCCACCCATCCCAACCTTCACCCTCTGGCCTCTGCAGCCAGGCTACAGTCCATGCTCAATAGTGGAGATGCCAGGTTCACTGTGAAACTGAGGCACGATGCAGTAAATAACCAGTGGCCAAGTTACCTGCCACCTTCAGTTTGAAAGCATTAAAGCTGAAGCCCTTTCAAGGAAGTGGGGGTTACTTTCCTCACTAAAGATTCAGAACACTAGCCAAAGAAATCCAGGTTCACCTTCTCCTGAATGTGTTGCCTCTATTTCATGGACCCACGGCCCTTGCTTAACTTCATTCATTCAAAATGAAGTTTAAACAAAAAGAAGAGTGCTGTGCTTTTTCATGCCAATTGGACTGTACTTCAGATTCAGAAGCTATGAAGTCTGGAAAACAATATATTTACAAATAATAAAAAAAAAAAAAAGAAGTTGACTTATCAGTAAATGCATGCACTTCTCACTAACCTTAAACTCTGCAGAAAGCGTCTGACAAGCAGCTGAAAACCACAGCTAGCATGAACAAAATCATTTCTAGTTTGAGAAATAATAACTGCATTGAACCTACAGCTGTAACTCCACTGAGCTCACATTAAGTTCTGATGTCTGAATATCTGACAGAACTGACATAATGAGCACTGCGAGTCGAAATGAAGACAGGCAAAAGTATTTTTTTAATATAAAAATGGTCTTTATTTCTTCAATACAAGGTAAACTACTATTGCAGTTTAAGACCAACACAAAAGTTGGACAGCAAATTGCTTAACAGTCTCCTAAAGGCTGAAAAAAAGGAACCCATGAAAGCTAAAAGTTATGCAATATTTCAAGTATAACATCTAAAAATGATGAAACGATCCCTAAAGGTAGAGATTAACTAAGTACTTCTGCTGAAAACGTATTAAAATCTGCAGTTGCTAGGATACCATCTTACCTTGCTGAGAAATACAGGTCTCCGGCAACGCAATATCCAGCAGACTCTGGCCTGCTGAAATCTGGAAACTGCTTACTATATACACGTATAAAATCCTTTGGAGTTGGGCATTCCGAGAGACATCCATTTCCTTACATTTTGCAGTGCAACTCTGCATTCCAACTCAGACAAGCTCCCATGCTGTATTTCAAAGCCATTTCTTGAATATTTTACCCAGACATCCTTGTGCAAAATGGGAATGAGGAAATGCAATGATACAGGAAGACAATACAGCCTTATGTTTAGAAAGTCAGCAGTGCTGGTAATCTTCATAAAAATTTAACTGTTTACCAAATAGGAATGTATTTCACTTGTAAAACACCTGGTCCTTTTTTATATCTTTTTTTTTTTTCAAGGACACCTGCACTGATTTGCAATCACTTGCATTTATAAAAGCACACGCATTCCTCATTTTCTCACATTTGAAGATCAACAGAACGTCTCTTTCGTAATGTAATAATAATATGCACAGTTTAAAATATTTTCTATTACAAAATACAGTACACAAGAGGGTGAGGCCAAAATCTATTGAGTATATTCCAAAACGTCAGCACTGGGGGTGTAAAATTACATCACATGGTATGAATAGACGGAATTTGTTTATTTTTTTTACTTTTTAACAACTGAAATGCTCAATTCCTTTGGGATCAAAGGTGAGCACTGTCTACTATCTTCAAGAGACTTCAATCAAGTCAGAAGCTTTAAAAGATTTAAGCACAGATATGGGCCACACCAGAGCCTACATCTGCTGCAATAACCGGGGCTATAGAAAGGATTCAGGAACTAACAAGTGCGTAATTTACAAAGAGAGATGCTTTATCATACTTCGTCTAGCATGGAAAAAAAAATTCCCATGAGAACATCCAACTGAGGAACTTCTCTGTTACCAACTCATCTTCTACAGCTAAGATGGTTTGAGAAGTGCCCAGCAGGTGAGATGTGTTCCAGGAGGTGGCTGCGTGGCAGCGTGTGGGGACACAGAGCACCTCACCCCTGTCTGCAACACTCACTGCATGGCAGTGCAGTGAACAGCTGCAACCAGCATCACTTCTGCATAAACACCGTGACTCATCAACACGCTGCAACTGTGTTTAAAACCTATGCACTCCATTACCAACAATAATTTAAATCCCAAACAAATCCATGCAGCTTGTTTCCTACGCCAAAATATTTTAGAAAGTATTCATTCTTTTTTAAGGATATCACGTGGATCTGCACTTCCCTGGGATCTTGAGTGATTTATACCTCAGTGCAGAAGCAGTTTAGTGTCCTGGATCTTGGGAAGGCAGCAGCCAAATGTGCACGTTTTACATTTGAACCCACTGACAACCCACCTCACTGAGCACTGCCCTACGAAATTTAAGGCTGTATCCTTACAACACAAAAACCAATGACAGACTGCATATAAAATTCTATAAATAAAAATAGGAGTGAAGTCTGTTAGACCTGTACACACAGAGCATATAGATAAAAAAAGGAAATTGGGAATTACATATTTCTATAAATGCCATATATTTTTACTAGAAACACAGATGACAAGTATATACAACATGTAAATCTGAAGTTATCAACATGTTAACTAGGAAAACATTTACAAGCATTTGGGTATGCAACTAGATCATCAGGTAAAAAAGTCCCATTAGAAAAATCTAAGCCTCACCAGTTTCAAAAGGAAAAAAACAGATTGCTCACTACTTAGAAGGGAAAAAATAAAGCACTAAAGCATCAAGCTGGCCTAAACTTAATAAGGTATCTTGTGTAAGAACAACTATCCAAGCTTTTAACCACACTATAAATAAGAACCTCAAGTTCTGGCAAACATTTTTCATAATGCAATCAGAACCAAAGGCATTGGCACAGAAAGCAAAAAGGGAATGAAAGAAAAGGGCTGTACAATTTCCAAAATCGTACGTTCTTCTTTTGAAGAAATGTTTCTGACCTGTCGAAACACACAGTCTAGTAGAAATTTTACTAAGAAAAAAGGAAACCTTACAAAAACAAAAAGCAAACAGAAAAAAACAGGCAAAAAACTCTTCTGTCACTGAGATGCCACCACCCCAACCACCTCCTGCTGTGGGCTTTGTCTCCTAGAACAAAGGACACACAGCCGTATCCCATTCTCAACATTGCTTATAAAAACACCGTTCAGAAGAAATATCAAGTGTTTCCTCACAGACTGCTTTATCCTCTTATCGGATCGAGAGGAGATGAAATACAACAGAGCGAGTATCAAAGAAGGCAGCAGGAGCCACCATGGCACCATCAGCAGGCAGCGCAGCGCCCAACTGCCGCTTCCTGAGCACACAGGAAGCCGCCAGTCACATGGAATAGAACAACACCTGGTACAACTGCAGTACGGATTCACTTATACATGATGTGCATCAGACATATTCCTTTTTGGTGTCTATCAGGGTCTTTGGATCTTTTTCTGTACAGATTTCTTGTTTCATTTAAAAAAAAAATTAACAAAACTCACAGTAGCAAGAGTTCCATCTAAATAGTGATACGTTGTGCCTGTCAGTTCAAACTAAGTACTCAGAGAACACGCAGAAATAAGGGGCTTCATGCGGGGACCTCTTCTTCTAAACACAACACACTCAGTTTAACCTGTGTTGTTTTCTTCCTGCTTTTTTTTTTTCCCCCCTGCTATTTCCATTGCCAGCAACAGAAATCTGCACAAGAAGCTACGCTCTGTAGAAGAGCAAAGGTATCCTTATATCTATTTCAGTGAGGAGTAAAATATCAATTCCTGCATAAAATGCTTTTGATTTTTTATTTCGAGTTATAATATAGCTCTGCAATGGAACGTTACTTACCTGCTGCCTCTCCAGCACGAGCTACAGCTACAGACAGGTTATTCCTTCCTTAAACTTATTACACACAGCAGTAAACAATGTTTTGAAGTAAAAAATAAAATTACAACAGTATTGTTTGTAACCAACACCTATTCATAAAAAGCAGGAAATGAGTCGTGACTCATTAGATACAACTTTCAGTTTACAAAATTTTAAAAGGCAGCTTTCATTTGGAAACAGGTTTAAACAAACATTGCAAATATCTTCTCAGTAGCAAATAGTTTGATTAACACCAGCGATCCCACCATGAGGATTTGAGGTACACAATTTAAGGAAAAAAAGGGGAGGGGGTCTGAAGCTTGCAGCCCAGTCCAACAGCATCAACCTGGCTGCAGAAAATCCGGCCAAGGGTCGGTGATAAAAATCTGAGAGCATTTCAGACTTAAGCAAAGCTTCTGCAGTAGTACACACTACTGGTCCCGACTCAGCAAAGCATCAGAATCACTCACTCTGCACAGATTAACTTAGAGCATATGTTTACATTCCTGGAAATAGGCAGAATGTAAGCACATGCTCTGGAAAACCAAGTGGATTGAAGTGCTTTCCTGAACAGGAGAACAGATTTTAGGTCTGCTGCAAAACCTTCCGAGAAAGAAAAATCGGTAAAAAAAAGAAACAAAGAGCTGTCTAAGAGTTGCCTCTTAAAGCCATCTGAGGTCTTGAAACAGAACTTAAAGCACAAAGTGCAGCTATGTGAATCAGTGAAAACTAAGAATAAATCCATTACACAATGATTCGCAACAGACAAAGAATGAGCCTCTGTGCAAGGCGTCCAGAAACGGAGTTTTTCCAAATTAAATGAATCTTTCCATTCATTTGTGCTTACTGAAATTTAAAACAATTTCTTGTAACTGGAATTCAGCTTCCACGCTAAGCTCCAGCAAACTGTTTTTAAGGAAATGTACAAAACCTCATTTGACGGATTTAATTAGCGCCGCTTTTTGCAAATACTTCAGTATTGCCCACAGTGGAACACGGACATACAGGCGTACCTTCTCTTCTATATGCACGTTTGGATAAACCCCAAAGCATTAAAAAAGTATCAAACCCATAAAGTCTGAAAAATGGAAACATCTGCTTCCTCCTGTCACATCTAATATACAGCTATGTACAGACCTGCGGCCTCGGGGGTCGAGGGAAGGGAGAAACACATAAGCACTAGCTCTATAAAACTGTAAACAACTGCAGGATCATTGTTTTGTTTTGTGTTTTTTTTAAAAGCTAACCTTTGCACCCCTCAATGTGAACGGGTTTAAGACCATGCAAACAGTTTAATATGAACGGCAGCGTCGACCAGGATCAAGACCGTGTGAAAGACACATTTTCAGCATGCTCCCATCAGTGATGTGGGAGCATCTTCCTCAAAGCAAGAGAACACAAAGAACTGCAGTTTTTACAGTTTTATATGTCAGTGAGCAAGTTCACAAGCCACCCAGGTAAACACTGCTAGAAAGCAAAATAGCATTAGAGGTTTTTGTAACCACCTGCCTTCGTATCAAAATTGAGAGTGTGAGAGCAACATTAGTAAGTTCAACTCACTGAATGCAAGATTAGGTTGAGGCATATGCAAGAACTATTGCGATGTTTTTAAAGACAGCATCAATGTTTTCATTGTAACATTATCTTTAAATATTGCTGAACACAAGACTTTCCCTGAGGTGTAAACATCAAATAACTTGAACAGCTTTACACATCAGCCCCATTAAACAGTTTATTACAACACTACATCTACTGTAATCAAAGTGGTGCTGTATACAGACATTATCATATGAACATTTTAACATGAACAAACTACTATAAAAACAAGCATTTACTTGACTTTTTCCAATTGCTCGCACATTATAATTGCCAAATGTATATAACCAGTAATGAAGTTGCAAAAGCTATAAGGTTTAAATCACACAGGTTTCCCTCAAATAAAACAGTTAAGCAACATAAAAAAAGTAAAAGAGCTACTGGTTACCATGTATGCAGATTTGCTTTATTCAGATCTATTCCTGTTCATTTTATCCATGAATCCTTACAGGCTCAGTTCAATCACATGAAGCAAACTGCCGGACAAGCATCTTTCCTTGAAGAACGTATCTTGTCTTGTACGCTGCTCCTCTTCCTTCAGCTGTAATGTGTCAAAATTTGTGATGTAGATTTTGCTAGTCCCCATAATACACAGAAAATTGTTGCCTTATCTATACATACACAAGTCGTGCATCTACTTCACCGTATGTAAACTAACACAAGCTAGCAGGAGCAGTAGCTACTTGTTTGTGCAATTGCTTTAGGATACCGTAATTAAAACCAATTGTGCAACAAAATTGAAAGAATGTGGATCCCACATTCGGAAGTATCCAGTGATAAAGTAGAAATAGCTACTGTTCCTGTGACTGATGGAAACATTTATAAAGAGCATTTTCTAAAGTATGGATTCTGAAAGAATAAACCAACAAGCATGTAAGGTAATTTTGCCCGCAGCTAGATTTTTACATTTTTACCTGTTCACTTACAGAAGTTTTAAACTGATTTAAATTTGACATTTAAGTAATGCACTGATTGTATCACGAAGTGGGAGGCTCACAGCCCAGTAACATTTAAGAGCACACAGAATTTATAGCGGCACTTCCAAATTCCCAGCCTAGTGGCAAGCAGGATGGACTTGACATCTAAACATACACACTCACAGTTTGATCGCACAAACCCACTCTTTGAGTAATACAATACAGACCTGCAGGTCTCCTCCTGCCCTAGGAAAAAACCCAAGCCCCTACTTCCTACTCCCATCTACTTAGGCAATGAGGAACCACGCCATTCAAAGTGTATTACTGTAAGGGTTCACAGAATACTTGGGACGGTATAATTCCATACACCGGCTTTCAGTTGAATTCCATTACAAAACAATTGACTATCTTCATTTCATTAATAATTCACAATTTCAACATTCAGTAACTTCAAAGTAATTTAAATCAAGTTCTGTAAAAACCAAACACATTCGATTGTTCATTTGAAAAACAGACATTTAGAGGAGCAATTTCATGAACGTATACCAGTACACAGCTGTCAAATATTCTTTTGCTATTATAATTGCAAAGCAGTTGGAAAAACAAAACATTCCACGTTTGTATAAGCGATTGACACATTTCTTCTTCCCTTTCTCAACACGATCATTAATGGCAATGTTAAAAAGAAGAATGTAAAACCCAAGCAGCTTAGGCTGTATACCCTCCAGTAACTGGGTCATAACTGATAAAGTATGCGGGCAAGGCTGAAGCAGCAGCTGGAATTTCTTTTATTTGCAACCTTTGTTCTCAAGTCGTCAACTAGTAACTACTCTGGAGAAAGTTCCCTCCCCAGAGGCCAAAGTTTCTGTAGATGTTACACATTTTTCAAGTGACCTTTTCAGAGGCTTAGCGACTTGGACACATTCCGAGGTGTGGGCTACATCAGCACAAACCGATGGGAGAATTTGGGGTTTTAGTGGACAAAAGGCATGACAGCTGTGAGACTGCATGTCAGAATTTGCTGCTCTCTGATACAATTGCTGCTGCAAGTCATGGATCTTGAGCACTTCTACGGCAACAGTTAACAGATCCAAAGCACCACATGTAGGATCCATAATACTAGCATGAGAAAGCTTCTGCTCCTGAGAATAATTTGCTAGATTTGGTAGGCTACTTATGCAACTACAGAAACTTTCAAGAAAGCACAATAAACAGTATTTACAATTGATGCTTTCCAAAAGGGATCCTAAGATGGTCAACACCACTCTAAAACTTTTAATATTTTTAATTTTAAAAACACACTGCCAACTAAAATCCAAAGGGGTGCTAATTTTGATTCCAAATATTCTGCCAGTATATCCTGGCAAAAATCAGAAACCTTTGCAGTTCCAAAAGGAAGAGACATATGTATGGATTATACCTTCACTCTCAGCCCTTTTCAGTATTCTACGAGCAAGTAGAATATTTCAGTATTCTACGAGCAAGAAACGCTTTGGGGAGAAAATAAAGATGAAATCTCTAGCCAACCCTTTGTTGTAATGCAGTTCTCCACCTGCCTCAAGTTTATATGAGCTATCTGTCCCAAGCATGTGCCAGGTTTGTACAATTTAACATCATACAGCAATCAGTTTTTCAGCATTTCCACTGATGATACCCAAAGAGCAGACTTATCTGTTGAATAGTTTGTTGTGGTTTAGAAGCTAAGGAGCATTTCACAAATGAAATCCCAGAGCTTAAGGGATCCAACATTTTTATATTTATGCAAAATGCAACTTAAGCATTGTTTTTCACACCCAAAGACACTCTTACACCAAAACCCAAGAGATTTCTTATATATAAGTATCTCACAGTAACAACTATTTTTGCCTTTAATTCCAATCATCAAGCAAGCATATGAAAGTTTTCAACAGCTTTTAGAAGTGTGAAAATTCTACAGTAATTTAAAGCCTTATGTGCATACATCTGTCAGTTTATAATAGTGATTTATCAGATAGTTTCAGAGACTGAATTTCAATCTCACAAAACGTTGACATTTGAGTAAAACACATGATACATATTTGTCATCATATTCTGATAGCTCCTATGAATGAATGTAGGTCTCATTTATTTTATTCTATACATAGGGGAAAAAAAATACACAAAAGCAAAAATCCCATTCAAAAAAAAGTTTGTTTTAACTTCAACTAGGTTCCAGACTGTCAGAAACCTTCAAATATTGTTGTTCAGCTATAACAGCACAACAAGAATTAAAGAGTTTCAAGCTTGACACTGTATTTGCCATTCTGCATCTCAATTGAGATATGCTTCAGTCTTTGCCCTTCATACACGTACAAATTACCTACCCTACCATCACTAGCAGCTGTTCCATTTGTTGCATTTTTTCCCCCCTTTTATTAGTGTACTTACCTGATATCTTTGACTTAATGTTGCTCTTAAATGAAACACTAAGGCTGAACAATTTCCTGATGTTATAAACAACTTCATATGAACAGAAAAAGAACACTCCCAAACTACAGTTTGTTTCATTGCACGCTTCTCCTACTATCCCAGCCTGTCTATTCACCAGAGACAGATGATGAGCAGAGGTGTGTTCAGAAAACCAGCTTTTTAGTTTACAAATTCAAGTACTATGAGGTTGGAAAGCACCTTTCACATTAATATACGAGGAAGACACAAAAGGTAGATCAGTCTGCCACAGGAAAACATAAAATGAAAATAGTTCTCTCTCTTATTTTTTGAAAAAAGAAATCTTACTTCTCAAACCACAATGAGCAAAACAAAACAAAAAAAAAGTTTGTTTGTTCTCTGAAGAACATTGTACAAAACCCATGTTTTCAGTGCAAGTAATTTCTTTGTTTCAAATGCTGTCATTCTTTATAGACAAATTTCTTATGGAACTTCCACACTGCTTAAATTTGCCAGAACTGCTGATTTCGCACAGCAAGGGGAAAAAGCAGAGGCCACGAGGAACAAAAAGTGTGTGTGTCTTAAGACACTTGAAAAGGCAGCAAAATTACAGCAACATTCATGAAAAGAAGTAATAAGATTTTCAGTTCATTTGGTTTTCAAACCATCTTATCACCCTTAAGAAAACGAAATTACTAAACATTCAGAAACAAAACATATGCTTCTGTAAAGCACCGGAATAGCTATCAAACAGCCTCGAGGAGGCAAACAGAACAATGGCACTGTTTGTCTCTTACACTCTTAAGGTGGATTTCAGCTATTGAAACAGATGCACAATACACGATTTCTGTGGTAAATGCTAGAAACATAAAAAATGCCAACCCCACATACACTCTTCCTCAAAAACACACATAAAAAAAAGTAGGTAGATAATGTTTGTTACAGCTCAATACCAGTAAGATCTGGAACCGTTCTAGACATGAACATGCATATCTAGGGTCTTGGACAATGCTCCTATACAATTCACTTGGAATTCCTCATTATTAAAAGCTTATTATTAAAATAATTTACAAAAATAAGCATCCTCCTTTTAATTTTCTTAGAAGGCTAACATCATACTTCATTTGGTGCTTAAGCATTTGCTAATACACTCTTACAGAAGAGTTGCTGCTTACGCAGGCAAAAATATAATGCATCTTTTTAAAACTATCAAGTACCATTTCCCCTTCTACTGACGTTAAAAAAAAAATACAACCATATTAGTTCTTAAGCCACTCCAAAGCTGAAACTATTTCAGATACCTGAGATGAGTTACTGAAGAAGCAGACCAGCCCCAGCAGTGCATTAGTATGCATTTTACAAATGATGTGTACAAATGATTTTGCTTACAGTGGTTTGAGAATAGAAAAAAAAATAATCAGAGAAAATTCATGAAAAATGGAATACAAAGTCCACATACATCATCAGCTGTTACAATGTTAGTGTATTCTTTCTTTGTAATTCAGTCCAAATCCAGTTTAAATAGGAAATCTCAGATGACCCAGTAACAAAAACATAAAATGAGAAACTTAACATTCAGTAGTTATAGAAATTCAGACAGATTAAGATTGGGACAATGTATCAGCTAGAAATACATCATTGAGTATCAGATAAACTAAAAAAGAAAAAAATCTGTCTAAAAAAAGAACCAGGACTCATGCTGATGAAGTTACAATACTATTCTGTTTGTACACATTTTGCTTGTTTGTTAATCCTAAACACCATTCTGTTGGACTCTTAGCTTTCTTGACTAATACAAGTCAGACATTTGTCTTTCAAATCCATCATTCTTTTATATCTATAGACTTTCTATGTGCAAAAGATAGTTTAGAAAATGCTTAGTTTACAGCGACTCTGGAGAACAGATTACTGATGCATGTGAAGCCTTCCTCAAGAGAAGGCACACAAGAATCTGGCAAGAATTTAATTTTAAATCATTAAGTGTACAAACAGAAGTGTAAATACCTGCAATGGTACATCTGAACTTTTTAAGAAGAGTTTTATAATGAACACATCCATTGAGTTATTCCAATTTAATCCATCTCTAAGTGTAAGTAAATACAATACAAAGTGAATTTTACTGTATACAAAAATATTCACATCTAAACTAGATGTGTAACACCCTTTTTTCTTTTTTCTTTTTTTTTTTTTTTTTTTTTTTTTAATATGCCAGTACAGTATCACATTTATGACTATAGGTACACACAGAAATAAAAGTACAGGTGCCAACCAGAGGGTGAGGGCACACAGGCAACTTCACGTTACTTGGTCAAACAGTAACAGTAATGTGGGGAGTGACTTCAGCACTGCTGATGTTTATTAAGTGACTGAGAGTTAAATGTGTTTATGAAAATTAACTAATGGAAATAGCAAAACAAAAAAAAAAGTATGGCAACATACATCTCGGTGAAAGTGAAACATACAAACCAAAAGTCACTGCACTTTTTTTTGTCTGTATATATATATATATATATAAATATAAATATATATATATATAAAAAAACAAAGCTACAGTAAAAACCCCTCTTCATTTAGACAGAAACAAGACAAAATGTTTACAACTTAACTTCAAAAAAAATACCAAATGTCTTCATTTAGATGTGGAGTATTTAATTTGCTCTTTAAATCAAGTTCTTAGAACCTATATTCTTTGTGCAAGGGAATCTTATCTATGCAACTCCTTTGAAAAGAAAGCTCCCAACACACAACAAAGTCAAAGCGGCACATATAAATCCCACCCAAACTGAGTCCAGTCCCACAATAAGATTGAAACTAATCTTGAAATTGTGTTTTGGATATTACATAAAGTGCAACCTAATGGTACTGGACATGTTTTGTTGGGGTGGTCAGGTAGCGAAACTGTACTTGACACAGAAACTCCACCAAGGCATACACAATAGTCTAAATATACAAAAATTAGAACTATATTAACAAAGTATGTCAAGGACAAAAAAAATAGCTGCCAAACCCCAGATTAACAATTTTTAGCTCAGCTCCAATAGAAGTTAAAAAAAATTAAAAAAATAAAAATAAAAATTCTGGAAGTACATTCATCATTCAAGCTCAATGGTTACCTCCTAGTAATAAGAACTATTTGCAAATATCACAAATGTTAATTTATGATAAAAGGGAAAAATACAGTTCAACAAAAGAAACTGCATTTGCTTCTGTTAAATCTTGATATTTAAGCTCTGACATTTTACAATTAAAAACCACAGTTGCTATTTTTATGCAACTCCAGAATGATTTCTACCAATCCATTTTTCATGACAAAAAGTGGCATTAACAGATATGTACTACTGCCAACTTTATTTCAGTTGCCACATTTCTCTATTTAAGCCTTTGACTCCCCAGCTCAAGGTACGTTACTACTTTTTTAGAATATAGCATCATCAAAGTTGGAAAAGACCCCTAAGATCATCTAGTCCAAACAAATAACCCAGCATGCCACTTCGTATTTAGTAGACTACAGAATTTAATTTGTTCTCTCAGTGACAGAAAAGCCTAGCATGTAATACATGACATTCAAATACTGTAAAACTATAGGAATGTTTTCACTTTGGAGTAAATTACAGTTTACATGATTTCTAATGAGTTTTGTTCTGTTTGACTTCTGCAAATTAGCTTACATGAATGAACGTCACAAGAAAATCTGGAAACTAAACCTGAGAGTATGCATAAGAAATGGAAGCTGGGCAGACCAGCAAAGTCTGCTGGGTTTCAATTTGAGTGTATGTGTAGTGGGAAATTCCAAAAAGGAAAAAGACTATTGCAGCAAAAACAATATGTAGGGTTCCTTTTTCCCCCTAGTTCCAAATATAAGGAATCATGAGCAGCTTGGATTACCAGTCCTCGAACCAGCATGTTAAAGGGGAATGCTCACACATATCTTAAAGCTTTTAGCAGCACACTAAAGAAAGCACAATTAACCTGCTACTTGGTAGCTATCCACATATTTGATGCATGCAAGATTGCAGATACATGAAATGAAAGAACATTTTAGTATGTGAATAATCAGAAAAGAACCAATCCTTGCATCATACACTCATTTACAAGTCTTCAGAAAATGAGTCTACTGTTCAGAGGAGGAAGAGAATGACAAAGCAGGATGGTGAAGAAAAATTGACCACAAATTTTACTGGCAATAACATCTAAATTTAGCTAGGAGACAGAAAAAAGTGAGAGGCCACGTTTTTTACAATAAGGTCCGAAATCCAGCTACATTTCCTGAACTTGAATAATACTTACTGAAACAAAAAATTTCTACCAGTGCAAGGACCTGCATGTACTTGTGCTCCCTACATCGAAATAATACTCACATGTCATACGAGGAGCTAATTGCTGCAGTAGATTTCCTTTGCTTTTATAAGATACAAATGAAAAATACAAACATACATTTACTATCACCTTTTAAGATTACGACAGAGCAGAATTACCAGTCTGGCTTACTGCTTGTTAAGAGTTGGTTCAACTGCACGTCATAAAAACTGCAAACATTACTACCATCTCAAATTAAAAAGGCAGCATGCCAGCTGCAGAAGGAATCACACCAGTTCTCCCTCCCAAGGCCAGAGTTACCTGTCATTACTTACCTAAGTTCATTTCAGATGCTAAAAGAAGAAAGTAATTCATTATGTACTGCAGGACCATTGAAATGCAAGCATTCACTGAGTAAACAATCCCAAATCTAGAGCAGTAACTTCAGTTACTCAGTAACAGTAAACTTCAACACAAAACAAACGCTCACCTTCTTTAGCGATGGCGATATTCTCTCTCTCTGTCCCGTTCTCTGTCACGATCTCTATCACGATCACGATGTCTCTCTCTTTCTCGGCTTCTTTCCCGATAATAGTCATCGTGACGATCTCTGCTACGTGATTTATGGCGTCTACTTTTTTCTCGTGACCTACTGTGGTCCCTCTCCCTGGATCGTTCACGTCTTCTAAAAAAAATTACTTCATTACTTTTTTTTTGCCCCCCCCCAGAACACAAGCCACCCGCACGCCTGTTTTGTATTCTGCTGATCGGTACAACTCGGATCAAAAAAAGGCATGAGAGAAATATCTTCTCAGCCATGAAAGAAATGTCTCTGCAGATATTTTTTATGTAACAGGGAAGATGGCTGGGGTGGCGGCTAAGAACAGCTAACGGATAGTAAGATGTCATCCACTTCCAAACAAAGGAAAAGTCAGAAATTACACATTCAGAATGAAGGACAAGACAGCTAACACCAGCTGGAGAATGTGATGTGCCTCAAACGATTCCTACATCACGGCTGCTCACTGGCATTCTGAAAGTGCGGGCCAAGATCAGCTGCCCATGTTTTTATTACTCAACGTCAGCTACTCTACTCCTACAATATCCAAATAAATCCAAAGAAGTTAGAGGCTCAGTGGTTGTTGCAACTCTGAAAGGGTTGCAAATAAGCAGTGTGTAGCAGGCTGTGAGTTTTAAACCTATTCTCAATTTTTTGACTGTATGAGGAGGAATAAGAGGAAAAATCATTCTGGCCAACCTCCTTCCCTTGCCAAATGTGACAGGTGAAGAGAAAGTTACTACTAAGCAAAATAAAACTGGTAACAAATACCCTCTAACTTAATTTTCAATAGAAAATAATGATAAAAATTATATATGTGATATATATTATATACAATATATTACATCTGAATTGATGAAAGTAATTCAATTCTGAAGTTTACTTTTTGCAATACTACCATATAGAAAAGGACACAGACTATAATAAGTTAAAAAGCTAGCCAGATCCACCTTAAAAACAAGAGTCAGTTAACAGACTATTTACATTCAAAAGTTGTATTTGGCTCTTTCACAAATTTCTTGTGCAGCTGAGCAAATCACTGAGCTTCTCACATGACTCAGATCCTCCTCTGTGAACTAGTCTTGTCCTACACCTTTCCCTTCAGAAGGGTGGATGGAAAAGGAAAGCTTTACCTGGATCCAGAACCATAGGACTTGGACTCGATTCCATGAAGGCAGTCTTGAAGTGAGCTAATAAGTACTTTACAACGATCATCAGCAGATACTTTGGACTGTTTAATTAAGGAAATTGCAGTTACCAGGGTCTCTATAGCACTTCCATAGTCCCCTGAAAACGATATAAAATCATGAGATTTTTATTTGTAGTAATAATACAGTTTGGAATATTTTCCTTCAATAGCCTTCCAAATCATTTACTATAGGACTAAACATTACAACACTGTCCAGATCAGTACTCAGAAGATACTCTCAAACATCAGTACAAAAAGAATCATAGGTTGTACCCAAATTCAACCTCCTAGTGAAAGGAAGTGGCTTCAAGGCTGCAGGCTTCCTAACAGGAAAAAAAACTGTAAACTCCTTTTGCTTGGGCAGAATAGAAAGCAAGTCTTACTAACCAGCACTGGCATCTGATACAGCTCTTGAAATGGCACTGCTTGAGATTGCCCTATTTCTGTTCATGATTTCTTCAAATTCTGCTTCACTCAGAGGTGTCCTTGCAGCATCCATCTCTCTGCAAGCAATAAAAATTAGTATTTAAAAGGTTAAGAAAACATTAACGAAACATCATTGCAACTTTAAGCAAAATGACAAATAGAAAAGAAAGCAGGATCTGGGTTTGTGTTAAGGACCATGTTACAGTATAAAATCCTGAAAGCTTGAAAATAAATAAGTTAAAAAAAAAAAAAAAAAAACAATTATCACATCTGCTAAATGAGTAGAGTTATTCTTGTTCTACCAATCTAGTTTGAAGATTCAGCAGCACTTAAACCGTGCTTTACAAATATTTAACGTTTTCATAAAATCCTTCAAGGTATCTAAGCAGACATTACACCAGCTGAGTGGATGCAAAAAATACACATATACATGGGTAATGCAACTTTCAGCAAAATTAGAAATCTTTTTATGACAATCTTGGAATTACAACTATATGATCCTGTTTCCCAGATTCTTAACTAAGACCAGAGGGCTGTAACTTATAAGAAGCAAATAAAGTTCGTCATCTTTAAAACGCTCAATTTTCTGAATGACACCAACATTTTACAGCTAATTCTAGCTTTTGTTTCTGGTCAAGTTCAAGGTGCTCCAATTTTATCTCCCAATCATAGAAAGGAGAAAGCAATTAAAGTGAATGCTTACACTCATTATACTTTTAAACTCTATTAGCTACCTACACGCAGATTCTAAAGTAACAAAATTTACTCATATGAAAAAGTTTCCCACAAGTTTTGCAGTGCTCTATTAGCCAGTCTCTGAATCATATAGAAAACCTGAAGAAATGTGTTAGAGACAAAAGTTGAGACTGTCAAATTGATCCACTGCTTGATATTTCTAAAACAGTGTTAGTTCCTCTGGTAGAAAGAAAATGCAGAATAACAAGCAATACTATCCTCTTAAGTGCAAGAAGTGGAACAAGATCCTATAGCCAGTTTAGCATAAGAGGAAATGTCTAAAAATTCATACCTCCCTGAGTTTTGAGTATTATTTTTCGTGTGCCTCCCATAGAATGGAATATGTAATTTTTCTCTTATGGACATGTTATTTCCAGTGAAACGCCTATGATATATAATTAATGACAATTTAAATAGTTATGGATGATAGTCTTAACATTTGTAATGAAAATAGTGGACAGAAGTTCTTCTGTCCTATCCCCACTCCTTCCCTCCCCAGCCATTCTATAAACTGCAGACAACTTAGATTTTGTCCATCAAAAAATACAAAGCACCTTATTATTTCCAGGCAATTAAGCCAAATGCTCAAATTTCTACAATTTCTACAGGAACAAAGTATGTACAATTGTTCTGTTTTTTTGAACTTTGTGCTCATATGTAAAAGGAAGAATCAAAGTGCCTTTGCAGAAAACACTTTAGGCAAGAGAAGACTCTCTCAACTATATCAGTAAAATCACAAGTGAAAATTCCACATGTAACTATGTAGAAAATATCTCTCAAAATCAGACCCCAAAAGTTCTACGGAATACAAGTATGGTGAAAATTAAGAAAACAGTGGCAAGACAGAGATGCTTGAAAGCACAGATGAAAAAGATGTTTCAAACAAGATGTGAAACACTTGACTAGTCAAGTCAGAGGGAAGAAACCCTGACCCAGATTGGATCAACTACAGAAAAGGCCACTGCTACAAACACAGAAAGACTATACAAAATTACAAGTAGCTTGACAGGAAAGGAAAACAGAAGTCTTGCAACAAATTCCCACCCAGCTTTTGAGACAAAAGCTAACTTTTAATTGAATCCTTAAGAAAAAAGGAACAAGCAGGACTGCCAGAAGATGAAAATGACATGAGCTTGGTGCGGCACCATCCTCAACACATGCACATATTCAAAGAGAAGAACTCCAGAGCATTTTACAGTGACAGCTTGCAAGGCAAGATGGTGAAGGGACAAGTGAGAATTTCAAGTTATGACAGAAGCACAACCAGAAGCAGGAAGTGATATAATAAGCTAGCATGTAGAACACACAGAATAATGGTACTGTGAACAATGTACACAAACAGTTAAAAGCTGAAAATGGAAAGTAAGATTACTAGCATTGCACTTTAGGATTTTCTTACTGCTACAAGCACAGTTACGAGTTCATATACTAAGAAGTAAATAGGCAAATCTCATGATTGCAGGGACCCCCTCCAGCTTATTTGTTTTTTTTTTTCCCCCCCTTCTTTACTTTTTCTAACATTTGCATTAAAAACAAAACAAAACAAAAAAAATTATGCGTCTCCTACAAGGAATAAAGTTATATATAAAGCACGTTACACCAAAAACACTCACCTTCCAGGTGGCCCATAGTCACCTCTGTCATACGGCGGAGGTCGGCCATACGGATCTGTTGGAGGTGGGCCACGGCTGTCTGAAGTAGGTATGCCACTATTGGCAGGTGGGGGGAAGAAAGCTGGATTCACATGCGGTGCGGGTGGTGGAGCACCTGGAGGTGGCCCAGGGAGATGTGGAGGAGGAGCAAGAGTCAGGGGTGGCCCGAGAGGGCCAGGTGGACGAGGGGGAAATGGACCCGGAGGTGGAGGTGGACCCTGCTGAGGTGGTGGCGGACCCGGTGGCGGCCCGTAGCCTGGAACTGGTGGTGGAGGGCCTGGAGGAAGTGGCCCAAGTGGAGGCTGACCAAAAGGCTGTCCTGGAAACAGAACTGGTGGTGGTGGACGGTCACCACGATTAGGAGGTCCAGCTAAAGGAGGTGGGAGGACCTGACCAGGAGGTGGGGGGCCTGGTGGGCCCGGAGGACCGGGAGGGCCTAAAGGTGGACGTGGGGGAGTTTGTCCAGCTACAAAAAAAAATAGAAAAAAAGTTAATAAAGAAATAAAACAGTCACAGAAATAATTAAGATTCTTGTACTTTTTTTTTTCCTTTTCCTTCTCAGACAAAAAACCCTCACTGAACAATTCACAACTTGCACAAGACATGCATAGTCCCACTTTTGGGTCCAGTAGCTTAGATAAATTTATAATTGGTGATCTATACTGAAAGAGAACAGTAACCTGAAAACAGGTGCAACGTATATTAAAAATGCATGAAAAGCTATATTGGAGAAAGTACAGCAAATGCAGCACTCAAAACGAATTTCATGTCCTTGTTAGGGGTTTGCTGCTTTTTTTTTAAATTATTATTTGTTTGTTTTATTTTATTTGACTGTGTTCCTTTGACTGCTAGTAGAAAATACACAGAATGACATTTATTAAGAATATTGAAGCTGAAATGAGAACTTCACTGCAATACAAACCTGACATTTAAACAGAGATTTGTCCCATGTCAAATACCTGACTATATATGAACACCTGCACTTCAAGTTTTTGGCATTCTACGTGCCTGCTAACTGACCTTGACTTCTGTAATTCCCAAATAAGCATACTGCATTAACAGAAGAAAATAAACATTAAACTGAAACCCCATACACTAAATAATTTACCTGGGAATGGTGGCGGTGGCCCTCCTGGCCCTGCTGGTCCAGGGAATCTGTCTCCACCTGGAATAGCACCGGGGAAACGGCCTCGCCCTCTATTACTAGGTGGAAATGCTGCTCTTGAGCTTCCTCCTGGTGGACCAGCTTTACCTTCCCCAGACATCTGGCCAGACTGTGTAGCTGCAGTGGAAAAAATTAATTATGTAAATCAAAACAGTTTAAAGCTCTTCAATTCTTGATCTGAAGTTTTATGTTGCACTAAAGCACCGCTATGATCCTCAGTACCAAAAAGGAGCAAATGCTTCACTAAGATTCAACAGCGTTTCAGTATCCCCACACCACACTAAAGGAACTTGAGAAACTGTCAGTCCATGAAATTAGTCTAATCTGCCTATAAATGCTGTACCTTTAAATATTCTCATGCTTTCTTAACATTAAATCCACAAGAAGGAATTGAGAAAGCTTCTCCAACCTTAAGAAGAGTTTTACATAGCTGCATGATAAGCGCTTCCAACAAGTCCCATCTCCTAGTAAAATCACAGACATTCATTATATTGAATGATTTCTTTTATTTTCAGTTTTTAAGAGGATCTTCTATTTTATTTTTTTTAAACAAAGTTGCAACTTCATCCACTTAAGTATTTTACAGAAATTTTAAACTGTGCAGAAGTTATCAGATACTGAGAGAAAAATTGCAGGACAACTTTTGGAATAAACTTCCAATTGTTTCCATAACGGCACATGAGAGAGACTTACTTTTCCTTGACTGCATTTCAAACTGACTCAGAAATTGTTTATTGCATGGAGTCACAACAGGATTCTGCCCATGCAATTCTCTTTTAGGCAACAAATCCATCAACTTTTTGGAGGATGCTTCTGATCCCACACCCACAAGGGCAAACCTGAAAAGAAGGAAAGAACAGTCACACTGCAGTTTTTTTGTTCCCTGGTATCCTGATACCTCACGAGTAACATTTAACACAGTTAGCAGAAGAATATTTGAAATATAGAAACTTTCACAAGTCTTCTTCCAGTTTTAGAGATAGACAAAGCAATTCATTCTAGGACACAGATGAAGAACCACAATGTAAGTCCAAGATGCAGCAACACAACGAAGGTAGCTTTCTCACACAGTATCAATATACCATCCAGGGATTATTATAACCAAGTCGTCATTAACAATTCACTGTATTCTCATTGCTACTCTCATTAGTAATAGTGAGAGCAAAGTCAAGTAACGAAGATTAGATTGCCAGTGAGGAATCAAGTCAAGTGCTTGCTTTCAACAGTTAATGGAAAAATAAGCATTTAAAATCATTCAATAACAGGGACGGGATAGGTAAAAATAGCACTTATATTATGAAGAACAACATACATCACCACTACACTAACTGAAACTTAGGAATAGTCTTCATGAAAACCATAGAATCATAGAATGGCCTGGGTTGAAAAGGACCACAATGATCACATAGTTTCAACCCCCCTGCTATGTGCAGGGTCGCCAACCAGCAGACCAGGCTGCCCAGAGCCACATCCAGCCTGGCCTTGAATGCCTCCAGGGATGGGGCATCCACAACCTCCTTGGGCAACCTGTTCCAGTGCAAATGCCAATATAATTTAACTCATTAAATAGTAAGAAGTTAATATCCCCATAAAATTTATGCCTGGAATTTAATTAGTCCGAAATAATACACCCAATCATTGTTGGATATCAATACACAAGGGCCATAAGTTCACATACTGACAGAAAAATTACAACTCTTTCCTCACTTAGACCCTCCTAAACTTCAGCCGATGTACAGAAAAAGCAGACAAGAAGGTCTTACCCTTTAGATTGGCCATTAGCACGGTTTTCAAAAAACTTTATCTCCAAAATATCATTTACCCCCAATGAATGAACCGCTTCAGTTAAGTCTTCATCTGTTGTCCACTGAAAAATATAATATTCAACTATGAAATCTTACCAAAAACACTTTGACACTTTTCCACGCTCTTATTTTGTAATATAAGTGGTGAAGAGGAATACTTTACACAGGTTGTCAATATTTTCTGACTCCCAGAGGACCATCATTTATACTATACTGTGCCCAGAAAATTCATTTTTGAAGTATGCACTTCCTCACACACCATGCTGTCCAAACCCCTTCACACAGCAAACCAGCTCACAGGTACCAAAAAAATTCCTGAATAACTTTCTGAAAGCACTTTTTCCAAGAATATTAAGCCTAAACTGAATCACTTAAATAACTGCCACGTTTTTTGACATCCAATCCATTTTTTTTTTCTCCCACTGACTCTACTTCCAAACCCAAAAATCAATTTTTAAGACCATATTAACATATTTGCTCACTCCAAGAGCTTTAACTAGTGAGGGCCTACTGAACCACATATTATTTTGCACAAAAATAGCAATATTTACAGACAAAAACAGGAAACGAGCACAGAAAACATAGCAACAACTATTTAATCTTGACCAAATCTCCTTGCTGTAAGTTTCCATTAGTTACTATCTAACATTCAACAATTACACATACACTCAAAGGGATACAAGACATTTATACTCAGAGTTTTCTTCCTCTTCCTGTAACTCCATCACCTCTTTAAATCCTATCTGGGAAGTACAAAGCAGGCTTTCAAGATCCTGAATTACTTATCTGACCTTCCTCAAATCAAGGTTTCGTTTAAAAAATTAATAAATTACTTTGCTTGAGATCTAAACACAAAAAAAAACAAATACAATAGTAATGCTCAAACAAGTTAAGTCTACTTTTAGTGGATAACTTCATTTGCGAAGCCTCACAATGAGCAGCAGGTACAAATTACTGCACACTGGCCTACCTACTTTAGAAATTGCCACATTTGACTTGGATGAGCCCAGCTGATTGCATTCCTGCATTTTAGAGAGGTACAACTGTTAAGTCAATTAACTCCCTTAGAGCCATTAGTTCCTGAAATTAGGTTACTGTACTAATTAGTGAAAAACACTTAAGAATGCCTAAATCATTCTTTTTCAAGCTTCCACCTAACAAAAATTTCTTCAAGAAGGGAAAAAAAACATGAAAGAGATTTTGCTTGCATGGACTCAATGAAATGGATTTCAGGTAAAGAGAGACCAATTGCAGTTAATTTAGCTGTTCAAGAGCTACTTGCACTTTTGTTGTTTAACTACAAATGATTTTCAAATACTTTATTGCTGACTAAAGGAATTGTCTGAAGGGAAATGGTAGTTCAGTGAGTTACCCTAGAGATGTTACTCCCAGGAATGCAAAAAGAAGCCTAGAGGCAAATGAAAACAGCTTTGTTCCAAGAATCAAAAAGGAAACAGGAAAAAGACAAAAAGTAAGAAAATCCCACATAACCTTGTTTTCTTCTTCGTCTAAAAACTTCAGGAAGGGCTCACTGAAAACTGGGTTTGTTTGACAGTTTTAAACTATCTCCAAGATACTTAATATCTTAAGCTTATTCTCCTTCATTATATTCTTTGAAAAGACAACTCTTCAAATAAAAAATATTTCACGACAAATCACGTTTGCAATTTTCAAATCGCTGGCCACTCCTGGATAGGAATAAGATACTCACCCAAGTAAGGTTTCCAATGTACAAGGCAATTCTCTTTCCAGTATATGTGTAGACAACATTTGGTGCAGCTCCTTTACCTACATCGTCTCCAACTGAAGGTGGGAGAGAATCCATATAGTCACGATCTTCTGGGGCATCTCCATTATTCGCAGACGGAGAGATTACATCATCGTACAGATCAATCTGATCATGTCCACCATATTCAGCTTCCTAAAATACACAAAGCACCTGGGTTACATTTAACATTAAACACTTCTCAGAAACAAAATAGTCTGGCAACTGCCACTTTCCATAGACAGTTTGACCCGACACCTACACAACATCCGTAACGAAAAGCTAAGCCCCGACTTCAATCACATTTAAATATATAAAATTCTTATGTCTTCTACCGTATTCCAAACTGATAAAAACAAAAATACACCTCCAGCAACTGCTTTGCACTGCAACACTCTTTACCTTGTAATATAAGCAGAAAACTAAAAAAACACAAGCTCTACTCCCACAATTATACATGTGAACAAGTATGAGCAATGTGCAAAACAACAGGCTAGTATCAGCAAGCAATTTTTGTCATGAAAATATTTGGTAGAAGGAAAAGATCAAACCTGAAGTGGTCTGCACTGATAAAATTCCACATTTCAGATTTCTACTGCATTCCTAATTTTATTTTTATCTCCTCATTCACAGAGTGAAAGAAAGGAATTCTATTTTATGTCATTAAATTTAACAAACCATTGGGTTTGTGTGCATTGCACATTTATTTATTCCTGGGCTACAAAGGAACTATTCTACAATATCAAGGCTGCCTCTGGAACACTCTGGTTGAGAAGAGTATCATGGGATTTCAGAGTGAATCACCTCGTCCCCCAGGTTGGTACAGTTTACAGCACAGATTTGTCCAAGTGAACTAGATCTCTTTCAAAGGGAACAGAATCATGAGTTTATTTACAAAAGCTCTGCTTCATGCACTTGACAACTGCATACTACCTGTTAAATGGGAACAGATGAGTCAAAATCAACCCGTGGCCCTTCAGATACCTTTGAATTGTAAGACAGGATGAAGTATTTGATCCAAAAGACCAGAGGAAATTTAGCCTGAGGCAAACCATGTAAGCAATGCATTAGGGGAAAAAAAAAAAAAGTAATAATAATAACAAAGAATAACCCCAACACTTCCCACAGTGCATTTAATTTCATACACTTCCATTCATCATACGTTGGACCAGGTCCAGAAGAGGCCATGAGGGCGATCAGAGGGCTGGAACACCTCTCCTGCAAAGGAAGGCTGAGGCACCTGGGCTGTTTAGCTTGGAGAAGAGCAGGCTTCCAGTACCTGAAGTGGGCCTATAGGAAAGCTGGGGAGGGACAATTTAGCAAGGAGAGCAGGGATAAGACAAGGGGTAATGGCTTTAAACTACAAGAAGGTAGGTTTAGACTAGATATAAAGAAGAAATTCTTCACAATTAATGTGGTAAGGAACTGGCATGCCCTGCTCAGAGGAGCTGGCTCAAGGCCAAGCTGGATGGGCCCTGGGCAGCCTGAGCTGGTGAGTGGCAGCCCTGCATACTGCAGGGGCTTGGAACTGGTATAATTTGAAGGTCCTCTGCAACTCAAACCATTCCGTGATTCTGTGATATTCTACAGTGATCAATTCCTATGCTGGGATATTGCTGAAAAAGAGGCACTATCTCAATTTCTACTGACAGGAAGCCAGACCACTGTTGCTCCCTGAGAAGTTACAGAAAAAGCTTAAGAGAGCCTTTTTATTAACTTGCAAAAGTTGCTTTGCCATATGCAAAGGCAAAGTTCGTAGAACATTCCTGGACTCATCCAGCATGACTCAGAACACAAACTGCCTCATCAGGTTTTGATATCAGAGATATTTCAGTGGCTGTTATCTTGTGATTTTGTATCTAGAAACCCACACAAGTGTCCTCAACAGAGTAACTCAGAATAACAGATATGGTGACTAGAGAGGATCAGCGTGGATTCCACGGGAAACAAGCTGCAAAGCCAGCAGTCTTGGTTGAAAACCAAATATATCCATGGTCAGATATCAGCTCTTCTGAAAATATGAAAACATTCATTATTCACTGCTGTTCTTAGAAGGGTATCACTAGAATAAATAAAATCAGATATGCAAGTTTTGGCTTTGTCAGTCAAGTAGATTTGATTCTCAGTGAGCTGCATTACTGCAAGACAACACCAAACTTCAACAGAAAAGTAATGTTTTCCCAAGGAAGTTTATCATCACTAAATTAATAAAGTTTTGCATTTTCACTCATTCTCTTCAGCTCTCCACCTACATTTGATTTCTCGTATCGTTGTAATTAATGAAACCAAGGTCAAAGAACTGCCTGGGACAGGCTGAAACATGCCATCTGATGGTAAGATTAAGAGCGATGTCACAAGGCAATTAAGGAAATCCTCTACTAAACGTGCAGCAATTCTTGCCATTTATGTGTGTAGATGAAGACTTTAGGAAAGAAGAATGCAGTCTTGGAGGACAGATTCAAACAAGCAGGCACCAGTTTTACAGCAGATGTACACAAACCTCCAACTATGAGAAGGTGGAGGTCAGCACTGCCAAAATACCAACAGGAACAGTAAGAGTCTGCAGCTATGCTGTGTTTCTTTACTGGCAAGAAACTCCTCTGAACTGGTTTGAGTTTCTGTTCTGTAGGCTTTCAGACCACCATCACAGCACAGAGAATCCGTGAGCAGGACAGTGCAGGTTGCACCTAACTTTTCTGGGGCCTTAATTTAAATCAATGAAGAAAAAAATTGACACTGCTCACTAAAATTTCTACCTACATCTTGCTGGTTTTGCAGCAAGCATGGAATGCAATGGCTCAATGGCTGTTACACACGATCCTTCCCTTCCTCTTTCACATGCATACCATGGAAACTCACCCAAACACACCCCTCTTCCCTAGAGGTAGAAGAAAAAGAACCCAAGCAGCCTCACTTCTCTACTCTTAGCTATTTCAACAAACATTCCACCCAGATCACAAATTGCTTTTGACATCTTCCAACTTCCTTAGTTATAAGAGAAAGCCATTGAGCATGAAAGGATTTCTGCTTATTGTCATTCACACTCTTGCAGATGAACACCCTACAGAAAAGTCAGCACCATCACTGTCACTCCTCCTATACCCAAATCAGAGTAGCAGTGTTTCCACAGATCACGCTTTAACAAGATCTCTGTCTGAAATCAAACATCGTTTGCTCTGGAAAATCAAGACTGAAATTTCACACTCGGGGTTACTCAATGGGCTTTGGTGAATAAAAAGGGTAATGAAAAGATACACAGTCAAAAACTCACCCCAGACTAGCTGTTACGCTTCCAGTTACTCAGCCCTTCTCATGTATTTTGTATTTCAATCACTGCTTGCAGCATTTTGCAACATTCAAGTGAGAAAGGCAAACCCAGGGAGCATCGCCATCTTGTCCAGAAGGGATAAACTGAAAGTGTTACTTTGTTTTGAAATTCAGCAGCCCTACTCTTGGGCATCCCAGAAATTCCTGGTCTCTCCCACTCCCCTTACAAAGGAAAACAGTTTTTTCCTTTTTTTTTTTTTTTTTTTTTTTTTTTGGGGGGGGGGGAAAAGATGGGGGGGTGAGGGAGTAAAAGTTCTTTAAACTGTACATTCATCTGAGATATCTGAGATTTGTTTCCTCTCTCCGTGCTGTTTGAGAGTCAAATGCTGCACGCCCTAAAGATATTTTTAAAAAGATGAAATTCCATTTAAAATTTTCTATGATTTCTGAGAAAAATCACTTAATTATTAAAAAGCAAATTATTCACCTTCTCCTATATCACCTTCTCAATTCAAAATTACAGTACATGCAGTCAAAGACTTTAAATGGATGTTAACAATCTCACTTCAAAAAACATCCGCAGGTCCTGAAAAACCACAAGTTGAAGGAACAGGCAGATGTCTTTCTGGTTTTGATTAGCTGTCTGAATGCACAAACAAACTGGAAGAAAACAAAAGCCCTTGTTTCCAAAATAGCACACAGCCCATGGTGGACAAGTTTGTTAAGCCACAAGACTCCCATTAATTTTAGAGGCCCAGACACTGCAGCTCCACCAGCAGCACAAGGGCAACATTTGAGCAATCCAATCTGTCGGCCAATGTGAGAAGAACAAACTCGCACACGGTCAAAAGCATAAAGGAAGTGCAGGTAGTATCACTGTTTGCATTGCAGCAAAGCTAACAGGCCCCAGCTGAGACGATCTCAGGTTTTCTTTGTAGAGTGATATTTGCAAACAACAAAGGTTACCTCCTGCCCAGTGCCCTTTCAGTAGATCTCTTGGTCAGTAGACCAAGACAATCAAGGAAAACCAGCCATACAGAGAGAGAAGTAAGGCATCACACACACTTTTTAACACAAACACAAGGTCTGCCGGCTTACTCGTGACCAAGACAGTACTGCTCTTCTGAGTAAAAAGGTATCATGTCACAACACACCCATCCCCTCCAAGACAGCAATTGCCTTCTTGACATAATGGCTATGTTCAGTAGTCAGTTTTTACACAACCAATAAATGGCAGCATTTATTATTTATTGAACAAAAAGTATTTTTCTTTGTGTTCTGGACAAAAAGTTGAGAGAGTAACAGAATCCACAGCCACAGTGGTTCCTACGTAATAAGTCTCTCAGCTGCTTTCTCCACCTAAAGCACTTTCATTACCAAGCTACAAAATACAAAGTCAAAGCTCTTTTATTTCTAATTTGTTAGTATTTAATTATTGAACAAGAACTCTTCAAGGTATGTTTACAGAAACCCAGCAAGTACACTTATCAGAGTATAAACAGCACAAGCAATTTTTTTTCTTCCCCACAGCATTAAAATAAAAAGGTATTTCTGATCAAGCAGAGGATGTAAAGCAACAGAAAAAACTATATACACACACACACTCAGAGATAAAAAAAAAAATATGTTACTATTTAAGATGGTGGCAAATAACGCGTAATGTGTTTTTTTAATTTTATTTAAAAAGTTTATTTCTGAGCACGTGCATGCATTCATATATAGAAAAAACTTGGGGGAAAGAAAGCCAATCAGACCACAAGAGAGCTTTACAATGTGGTGGTCATATCTTCAGTGCAGGAAAGTAACTCAGTTCACTGGCCAAAGGTACAGGAAACCTTAAGGCAGAACCACACCAGCCTCACACTCAGGCTCCTCACTATCTTGATATCATGTAGTAACACTCAGTATTGTGGAGTACAAAAACACATTCTAACACTTTCTAAAAGCACCTCTAATCTTACCATGGTCTTCTGCCACCAACAGGATGCCAGCTTCTGCCATTTGTATGCGGATAATGCACTCTTGTGCACAGCACAGACGTAAATGTCTGTGGAAACGGTCAAACCAGAACACACCATGCCACACGTATTTCATGCAGGTTACAAGTGATGCATGCAAAAATACTGTGGTTATGGGACTCTCAGTTCAGAGCAAGACACTACATAATTATGAAAGACCTCTGGATGGGGAAGCCAGTTTAGAATAAAAAAATGAACTGAGCAAATTATCAAGAAAAGGGGGGGGAGGAAATGAAATGGAAATGCAATTAAAACCAATTTAAATACAACTGATGGGAGACAAATTGAGTAAAGCATTAAACACAAGGACAAAGGACACAATTATGATGGTCAATAGATTAATGAAAGAGGCAACACAGGCACATACAGTTTTGATGAGCGCCAGATGGAAAGCTGTGTTTTCACTGCAAAGATGTGACTTCAAGTCCAGTGAGCGAGCTCCTTGCAACCTGCAGTTTTCATTCAGTTTAGCCAGCCTGTATACCTGGGGTCTGGAGTCTACTTCAGCCTTGTAACCCATACTTCATTTAGTGCTAATCAGGCAGAACATCCTCCCACCTCATGGAAGCAGGCATAAAACAAATCCCCAAAGAGCTGCAATGATAAGCACATTGAGGCCGAGAGCAGGACAGAGCAACGAAGGGCTCTCTCAGCCATGAAACCTAAAAGATTTATTTCCTGCAAGTAAAAACATTCTGTCCCAGCTCTGCTATAAATACAGTTATATTGTACTTGGAAGAATGAAGAAGCTACACGGTATGTTTTCGGTCCCTGCTACTGACAAAACTAATGGGAAGGGTTCCTGCAGACCAACTAATATTGGCAACTGAACACAGCACCATGCAATTCAAGAGAAGTATGTTGTTTTACACATAAAACAAATTTTCGTTAGAAATACAGCATTGCATAAAATGTCTGTTACATAAATTACCATCAAATTGCCATCATTTTCTCCCTACAGCATTTGACAATTGTCATCATCTGTGCACCCTTGCACAGACATGCTGAACTATAAGTGCTCTCTTATTAATTCAAGCTGTCAGCTTCAAATCAGAAGCCCTGAATAGAGGTTTCAAGAGGACTCATCACAATGGCATCAGAATTAGAGGTAGCAGCACTGTAGGTGGTAACAATTGGCTTTTGTTCATGCTCTGCAGAAGGAAATGGAAAGTGCAGAGGTGTCAATCTTTGCCAATCTAACTTTCTATTTTAACGTAATATAGTTCAGCTGAGGGGTTGAGACAACACGAAAGTCCCAGAACTCAAGCTTGGAAAAAAATAAACAGAAACATTTTGCAAAAATTAAACAATCTCTGTCTGCACAGAGGTTACAGCCACAAACTACAGCACCTGGAGGTCTCCCCCCTATGCAAATCTAGCACTACTAGATTCAAATTATTTTTTCTGAAGAACTTGATTCGTATCAGTTTTTTATGTGGAAGCGACTAACACAAAACTAAAGCTGGTACAGAAGCTGCTGAGATAGAATCAAAGAACAGCTTAGGCTGAAAGAGATCTCAAAGTTTGCAGGGGCAGCTACAAGTTGTTCGCGGGTCCGAACCCCACTGTGCTCTCCAGGCAGGCCGTAAGCGCGGGGCTCTCGCGGCAGCTTCGTTCTGGGGCAGCGCCGCCCCGAGAAGCGCGGCACCCGCACGCGGGACGGACGGTCCACAAAGCCGATAGGAACGTCGCCTTTGGTGGGAGGGGATGAACGCGGCTCACGGGGGAAAGGCGAGTGAAAAAGGAACCGGAGAAATCAGTCGGTCAGTCACTCAGCAATCCAGGAAGTTCTGCGCGTTTCACCGCCACTTCCTCGCGCAAATCAATCCCCTCCGCTCACGAAGCGCCCGGGCAGCGCGGGCGGGCTGCGGTCCCCCCAGCGGCACAAGGCCGCGCTCCTCCCGCCTCCCCGAGGAGCCACCGCCGCTCCTCCCGCGCCGCGAACAATGGCAGCACTCCCCGCCGCCACCGGGAACGGACCGCTCTCCCTGGCGGGACGGCCGCAGCAGGGAGAGGAGAGCGGGAGGAAAGGCGCCCGCCCGCGGCCCGCTTCTCTCCCTCACTCCCTCGTTCCGCCCCCGAGCGCCGGCGCTCCCCTCCCGGTCCAGCCCCGAGCCCCCGCGGGCCGGGCCTGAGGCGCGGCCTCGCGCCGTCCCGTCCCGCGGAGCGCCCTGCGGCGCGGCGGGAAAGCCCTGCGGCGGGGCGGCCGAACAATGGCGGCGCGGCGCGGCCAGGCCCCGCGCGGAGGGCCCTGCAGGCGGCGCGGCGGCGTAAGGCGGGCGAGGAAGGAAAAAGGAAAGCGAGGGGAGGAGGGGCCGGGCCGCGCCGGCCCGTACCTGGTTGAACTCCTCGCCCACGTCGGCGTAGATGTCGATGTGGTCCACGCCGTCCGCCATGATCCCGCCCGGCCGCGCCTCGGGCTGCCGCCAGCCGCGCCCGGCTCCGCCGCCGCTGCCGGGAGGGGGGAAGGTGCACGCGGCGTCACTTCCGAGCTAGGAGGGGGAACTTCCGGCGGCCGCCGCTTCTCGGGGGGCCGCCCCGCCCCACCCGCCCCCTCGGGGCCGCCCTGGGGCAGAGGGAAAGTGGACCGCGCCCGCCTCGGCCCCGGGTGCTGCTTGGCCCTGCGCCCCAGGGCCCCGCCGTTCCCCCTGCGCGCCCTTGCCGGGCCGCGGCGCGAGGTGCGAGGCCCGCCCTCGGATCCTGGAACGCGGAGCACAATGCGCCTAACGCTCTGCGCGATGCGTCGTGTTGTCCGTTGTATGTGGTGTTGCTCATCCGAAAATAAAGCTGCCTTCTGACAACGAGAAGTTTCTCTTTCGCAGACCGAATGGAAAGAGCTTTAAAGACTACAGGTGGATTCAAAATTCTTTTTTTTCCGTGAGTGGGAATGCGTCCTAGCTCCTGGATCAGCATCCATGTCCCAGAGCAGCCCTGCTTCATATTGGGTGCAGCACTCGTATGCGTGCCTTGGTGCTCTCACAGTATAGTTTTATCTGAAAGGAAAGATTTGTGTTTTCCTGACAGAAAAGAGGTGAAAAATCAGAGAGCCACAGGAATAGATATGCTGTGGAGTATGCAATCTGATGGTCCTGCTGTACCTTGGGCATGGAGATCCTCAGGTGGTCCCTGGAGTTCTCATCCAATTTGTGGCACACAAAAAAAAAAAATTGTAACATGTGCAGACCTCTTGTGTTGTTCTAGGTGTTAACAGACAGAAAATCTACAGCTGGGTTTGTTCTCGGGTGTATGGGCTTTCCTGATGGAGGAACTAAACCCTCCTTCGAAAGAGCTCTTTGGAAAGGTTCAGAATACCACCTGAAGAGACATTTGCTAAGGTGTATCTAGGCATTGAGTATGGAGATTTAAACCGGATCATGACTGCTTGATGATGATCTTGTTACTTGTAACAACATGAAGCACTTTGATGCAATACTTCTGTCCATCTGTCCAAATTGGACAAAATTACTGAAGAAAAAATTAACCCTTCCTATCCTGACAAGAATTCATGGGAGACAGCAGAAAGCTCTCTCCTGACTGGCTATCTGGGCACTGGGACAGGCTGTCACAGGAAGAGGCCATAGTCTCAATCACAGAATCACAGAATGGCCAGGGTTGGAAGGGACCTCAAGGATCATGAATCTCTTACTCCCCTGCCACATGCAAGGCCACCAACCTCCATATTTAACACCAGACCAGGCTGCCCAGGGCCCCATCCAACCTGGCCTTGAACACCTCCAGGGACAACCTCTCTGGGCAGCCTGCTCCAGCACCTCACCACTCTCTCTGCAAAGAACTTCCCCCTGACATCCAAGCTGATGGAGTTCAAGAGGTATTTGGACAATGCTCTCGGAAGTGTACTTTGAATGTTGGATGGTGCTGTGTGGAGCCAGGAGATGCACTCAGTGATCCGTGTGCATCCCTTCCAACATTGGATATTCTACGGTTCTGTAATTATAGGATTCTATGTTAGGTTGTGTTCACCTAAATCTTTTATGTGCATCTGGATACCTTATGAAAATTGCAAGTAGATTGTAATTATGTTTCAAAGGGCAAAGAGATTAAAGAATGAATGATAAAGTCATTATGCTCACCTCAGAAACCACCTCAGGGATCACCACTAGCATTTCAAGGACCCTCCAGGGGTCTTTGAAGAGACAGGAAAAGGCATTGCCTCTTCTTTGCTCTGTGAGAGAGCAGAGAGTGATAAGCTTGGACTCCCGGCCCCATGCTGTTTTTCTGTTCTCAGGAAGCTTCTCCACTTTGGAGCCTTTGTAAATAGATTCAGCAATTTATTGCACACAGACATGTACAAAATTTAGTATGATTATTTTTGTTCTTGTACACATACCATTAAGCAAATTCTGTAAACAGTGTAGGAGACTAAATGTCATGCAAGCTGTTCTATTTACGCTGTGCTATGTTTTCATTCTTTTTGTGAGTAGACTCAATAAATACATCTTCAAGTTTCTTGTAGTCAGCAACATCTTCTTTATGAATAATTCCCTCTCCATGGAACAACTTAAGATAGATCCACTCTAGTGAAAATGTTAATGCTTTGTATTTTGTGCACATGAAAATCATTTACACCATATGTTGTCTTCTCCCAGTAAAATTCAGCAGGCTGAGCTAGTGTGAGGGCTGAAGCAGAAATGTGGTTGTGAAAGAGATCTTGGTGGCACAGCCTGGTCTTGGAGATGTGTGCTTCTGAAGTTTGTTGGAGACAGCAAGTGATCAAGTGACTGCAAGCCTTCCAGACCCATCTCTGAACAAGAGAGCACACAGATGAGCAGGTGTCTTCCCTCAGTTCTTCTGTCACACTGATTTCCAACTGATAAAACAGCTGGAGCTTTCTTCCTATCAAAAGCAGGAAGGAAAGGGGGCCCTGACAGCTATGCATAAGAAAGCAGCCCATACCTTAAGACTGTGTTTCTCATGGATCCCCAGGAGCCTATTTACTTGTATATTGCTCCCTTAGTCTCTGGTGCTGTAATGATGCAAATTCAAGCCTAATCCTGATTTTAAACCTAAAAGCAGCAGCTGGTGCTGTTGAGAGTCTCGCTATACATGCCTCACCTGCCCACAGACCTTTGTGCTCTCCTCCCAGAGCCCTTCATGGCCTCTCTATGAGGATGTAAACTGCTGCAAGACAATAGGGAGAAGAAGGCTTTTCCACCCATTTTTATTGCATGTGAATATTTCAAACTACATGTAAATGTACTACTTTTGCTAAGAGCAGCAGAACCAGTTTCAGTAGTACAGAAATTTTAAAAGTGATCTATTTTTGCTGACATCAACACAGGAAAAATGTCTTTTTATATTAAAAAAAAAAAAGAAATGAGAAATTTCCCCAAGGAATCAAGACTGAGAATGGCACATGAATTTTCAAACAGACTACTCCTGTAGTAGTGCTAAGGACAACTAAGTGAGAAGTTAAACAATTCAGTAAAATGCTGCATAAATCAACGTGGTGCTCAAAATCAGAAGAGGCCTCAGCCTCCTTGAGATGGACAATGCATGCTTTGTTATATAAACTTATGTCCAAGCTGTGTTAGTCCAATGGTACTGAATATATGTTTTGTTTGCTCAGCTGTAGTCCTGAAGCTTTTGATCTTTCCAAAGCTGCCTGGAGCCATTGTACAAGCACTTTTATTGTTGTGTTGTGTTTTGTTTTGCTTTCTCCCAGTAAAATAATCCAAATGGTAGAAATCCGTACATCTCCAATGGTAAGAAATTGTCTTTTCCACTGAAATTCCTCAGTTTATAAAACCACACAGAGAGCAACTGAGGAGAAAACAAAACAAACAAACAAACAAACAAAAAACAACACAATCACAAATAAAATGCAAATGGGCACAAATCCTTGTTCGTATACTTGCTTTCAAGGGCTGAAATTTTTGGATTTTTTGATGGTAAGATAATACAGGCTGACAAGGAAAGGGGCAGTCATGCTCATGCCCAAGCAAAGGCAGCAACAGCCTGTGCAAGAAAAGAGAATTTCCTCCTCACAGGTAGGTGGAGTAAGTCTAACATGAAAGTACAACAAAAGGGCATCCACAAGACCCTCTGCTGACAAAGCTGCTGTAAGAAAGAAGCAGGTGGCAACCCTGCCCTCAGCAGGGTATTAGAACTTGCTGATCGTTGAGGTCCCATCCTACCCAAGCAATTCAGTAATTCTGTGTAGTTCAGTAGATTCTATGGTGTCTTGCCCAGATTTGCCTTTTTATAGGTATTCAGTTCTGTGCTCGGAGTTTCATAGTTTATTCACACTGCACCTGCCCATCAGTCTGCTCGCTCTCTTGGTTCAGCTACATCCCCTGTAGTTCAGAGCCAGGTTGCAAATTATGGGGAATCAGGAGATGATTCACAAATGGCGTGGATTTCCCAACCCACAAGGCAGGGAGGCGTATTAAGAACAGCAATTACAGGATGAGAGATGACAATAAATTTTGTTACCCCATTTGAATCTACCCTGATATAATAAGTTAGAAGGCTCAGTTAGCTTCAGAAGGAGTATGATATAGAATTTTCAGCTTTAAATCACACACTATTTTTTAAAATTAGCTTTGTTTAAAAAAATTTCTCATAATTTTACCCTTAAGAAAAGCACTAGAATATTTTATGCAATACCTTATTGCAGCAAATTTCCACTTCTAAATCAACTGAAAGTTTTTAAACTCATTCAGTGCATTAAACACCTTTGCCTCTGAATGGGCTACACAAATATGCAAATGAAACATCCCAGTACAAGTCACTTTCAGATGTTTGTCATTTTTCCAAAAAATTTAAGATCAGGAATAAGTTAATTCCATTGTTTTTTGTTCATTTTCTAATTTATTTTTCTTAAGGAGTTCATCTGAATTAAATATATACATATATCTACTGGTCCTGTGAGTGACTGGGGCCATTTTCTGCAACTGTACTATAGTAAAAGAAATGGGAAAAGAGGAGAGGAGAAGAGGTTGGACAGGTAAAAGCCACATCAAGGTTTGGAGGAGTGTATCTCGAAATAAAATTTTGGGGAAGTAGTTGAGGCTTGCCTGAAATTGTGAGCTAGAGGAAGAGGACTATGTAGATGCAGTGGTACAATGAATTCCCAACTAACATCGTGCCATCCATTATGGCACACTCTGCACATGTGGCACGCTGCTCTACCCATCTGGCTGGGAGCAGGTACCCCACTTCCCCACAGCAGTGCACCAGCCCCACAGCAACTTCCACCTCTTGCTGTGGGACACGTCTCCAGCCACAGAAAAATGGCAAAGGAGAGAGAATAAGAAGCTAGGGGCCAAAGCTGCAGAAGATGCACCCATGTGAACAGAGGTGGACAGCAGGGCACGGAGGTGTCATGGCTGGGAGAAACCTACATCTTCATGTGAACGCCATGGGGAACAGGCAGCACCCTGGCAGCTGCCTGCAGGGAGGATGGTGGTTCAGAGGTTTTCCTTCAAACATCCCATCACTACACTTCCCTTGAGTTC